CTATCAAATATCGTCATGTAACAACAGATGCGATCATGAAAGGATCACCCCCTTGCCATGATTAAACACCTTGGATGAACAGTTACCCTGTTCTCCCATGGTCTTGGTTTATGTTGATGCTGCGAGCAGCTTTGTTGGTTAATCGTCCTTTTCGTCCGCAAGATACCCATTGTCGTTGGTATGTTGGTCGTTTTTGTTTGTCCGTTGATTGTTCAGCACGCATGTTTTTGCTGGTTGCCTCAGAATAAACTAACATTAATGTGGATTTTACCCACCGTTTGAAGATCATGTTGCTACAAGTAAAACCATGTTATTTTTGCACATCTTGTATGGTTACCGTAGGTAAATCCCTTGTTTCTGGTTGCTTTAACCGAAAATTTCCATAGTCATGGGAGTACCCCTTGATCTCATCCATTGTAAGTTCGGATTTTCTATGAAATAAACCATCCAGCTATGGGGGTACCCCCCTGGCTATAAAAACTGCGAGATGATCCGCCAGAGGTGGTTTGGATGCTTCTTCTCCAAGGCCCAAGGTGCGTGGCTGCGTCACGTAGTCGGATCCTACGGCGCTACAAGAAATGCTTAGTGATGGTTAATGATATTTGTATGCATGGTGATGTTTAACGCAAGGGGTTGATGGGTAATATCAGGATCCATATCATTGTGTTCTACCGTATGTTAGTGACATATGTCATGGGTTCATAATTGTTTTTTGGGATAGTAAACACGAGCTAATGGTGATACATACTGATAATCAATGGGAGTTAATGCCGAAAGTACGATGCCAGTAATGGGCATAACATCGACTTACATCGACTAACCATGACGAACCATGACTAACCAACATTGATTTCAATGTGCCTACCCTTTGGGAACCCAACGTGGCTAGCTGGGACATCCCAGGACTATATGGGACCCCAAAATGAATAGATCCAGTACTAAACTATGGTTTCTCCAGGTGTGTTGTATTTGAATATTAGGGGAAACGATTGTATTGCAATCCAAAAATGGATAAGTTTGGATAAATCAATTCACCAAACGTAATGTGCTACCTTGGTTCCCTGGGTCCTCTATAAGGTAGGTTTGGGTTATTGAAGACAGAAATAAAACAAAAATAGAGTTGATACTGCAACGCTGTTGACTTTTGAAATCCTGAATTTTCCATGTGTTTCCTTTTTTTTCCTTATTTTTCTTAAAGATTGCACGCCAAGTATCACGGTGGAACACAATGGAGTACCACAAACTTTGTCAGAAAAAAAACATGTTTTTTTCTCTCTTCACGTTTTGCATATCGCAAGGACAACGCATTCCAAACGATGGTTTACGTAAAACAAAACAGTAATATAAAAATAGTAATATATAAAATATAAAACAACGCATTAACTAATTTTTAAAAAAATAGTAATATATATATATTGATTGATTGATTGATTTTTTGAGATATTCTTATTAATACGTTCCTCCTGGCAAAGGCAAATGTCAGAATATGTGTCCAATTTCTGTGACAACTGCCAGAAATCAAAGATACCCACAAGTACATGTGTCAGAAATACACACAAGTACACAAGTACAACCCTGGTCCTTGCTTCAAACCATGCAACCTTTTCAGGATTTGTCTAGTCAGACCATGTTTATTTCAGTATTTGTTTTTTCAGATAGATCCTTTTCAGGATGTGTCTTTCCAGACTATTTCCTTTTCAGGAGGTGTCTTTTCAGACTATATCCTTTTCAAGCCTTGCCTTGTCATATTACATCCTTTTCAACATTTGTCTTTGCTTACTATATCCTCCTCAGAAACAAGTGAAAGTCGCACCTTTTTTTCAGTGCAAACCTGACATAAATTTATAAGACAACTGACATTAAAAGAAAAACATATGAGACATCCTGACATAAACATCTATGAGACACTGGTAGGAACTGTATTTCAACAAGTGTCCTAAACTGTTCTTTTTTGACACCTTTTCACACCATTTCAGGACACTTGATAGGACACCTCATTTTTCAACATAAAACCCAAAAACATTTAAAGCAATACCTACTATATTGATCTATATTATATAAGATATAGCATTATGCCCTTTATGGTCATTGATGGACATAACATGAAGATTGATAACAACACGTTTGACGCAATGAACCAGTTTATACAAGATGACATCCAAACCTCATCGGAAGAAGAACCAAGGAGGCAATCAAGATCTAGAGATGATGGCACTTATGATATCACAACTTTAGACCCCGATTACTTCAAAAAGTATTATCTAAACAAACTCAAAGCGCCTTTCACCTGTCCAGACTGTGGGACAACCATATCAAACAATACAAATTTATCAAAACACAGGAACACCAAAAAGGGCAGAAACTCTAAAAGCTTTTGTTGAAACGTTGACCTCAAACCTCACTCCAAGTCCCCCCATCACTTAACCAGTAAAAAAATACTTGAAGAACTATTACCTCATTATAGCAAGAAAGAAAAATGGAGAAGGAAAGACAAAGGACATTAGATCTTCTTTAAAAATAATCCATTTCCAGACCTAAATAATTTTGTACCTGCTGGCATCAGCGGTGGGCCTGCTGGCATCAGCCGTGGTGCTTGGGCTGCTGTGCATGGGGGCCTGCTGATGGCATCAGCGGTGGGCCTGCTGGCATCAGAGGTGGATCTTTTCACATCTTTTGTGCAAGCCATTACAAGCAGAATACTTTGTAGATAGCAATTATCAGCGCAAACCATTTGAATATATGGTTTTTACTTTTTACTGATGATTTTATTTTTTTCAGATTTTTTTGAGCGATTTTTAGAGATTTTGAGAGATTTTGAAAGATTTTGATAGATTTTGAGAGATTTAGAGATTTTGAGAAATTTTGAGAAATTTTGAGAAATTTTCATTCCAGTCAGCAATACTACTTCTAAATTACAATGGTTCCCATGCCTGAGATTTTGAGAGATTTTGAGAAATTTTGAGTTTTTTTTTCCAGTGAAAAGCTCGTAAAGGAAAAGTAGTATTCGTAGAGGAAAAGTAGTACTCATAGAGGAAAAGTGTAATTATAGCAGGGTTGCGCTGATAATTGCTATCTACAAAGTATTCTGTTTGTAATGGTTTGCACAGAAGATCATCATTTCACAAAGCGTCTGCAAAAACATCAGGTTGCAAACGCTTGCACTGAAAATTCTATGAATCATGAAAATCACAAGTTTCTACATAGGTCATTTTTTCTTTTACAGTTACGTTGGGACTTGTTTCACATTGTCACTTTCAAGTCAACAGTGGTTTTGCTTAATGTACCACCTGTTCGAACAGGTGGCGCATGTCGAACAGGTGGTACATTAAGCAAAACCACTGTGGAATTTGAAAAACACAAAATGGAATATTTTTAAAGAAGATCTAATGTTGTTTGTCTTTCCTTCTCCGTTTTTCTTTGTTGCTATAATGAGGTAATAGTTCTTCAAGTTTTTTTTTACTGGTTAAGTGTTGGGGGGGCTTGGAGTGAGGTTTGAGGTCAATGTTTCAACAAAAGTTTTGAGAGTTTCTGCACTTTTTGGTGTTCTTGTGTTTTGATAAATTTGTATTGTTTGATATGGTTGTCCCACAGTCTGGACAGGTGAAAGGCGTTTTGAGTTTGTTTAGATAATACTTTTTGAAGTAATCGGGGTCTTGCCTCCTTGATTCTTCTTCCGATGAGGTTTGGATGTCATCTTGTATAAACTGGTTCATTGCGTCAAACGTGTTGTTATCAATCTTCATGTTATGTCCATCAATGACCATAAAGGGCATAATGCTATATCTTATATAATATAGATCAATATAGTAGGTATTTCTTTAAATGTTTTTGGGTTTTATGTTGAAAAATGAGGTGTCCTATCAAGTGTCCTGAAATGGTGTGAAAAGGTGTCAAAAAAGAACAGTTTAGGACACTTGTTGAAATACAGTTCCTACAAGTGTCTCATAGATTTTTATGTCAGGATGTCTCATATGTTTTTCTTTTAATGTCAGTTGTCTCATAAATTCATGTCAGGCTTGCACTGAAAAAAAAAGTGCGACTTTCAGTTTTTTTCTGAGGAGGATATAGTCAGCAAAGGCACATGTTGAAAAGGATATAGTATAACAAGACAAGGCTTGAAAAGGATATAGTCTGAAAAGACACCTCCTGAAAAGGAAATAATCTGGAAAGACACATCCTGAAAAGGATCTATCTGAAAAAAACAAATACTGAAATAAACATGTTTTTTTGATTTGAAAATGAAAACAAACTTGTGGGTGACGTGATCTTCTTTGGTTAGGTTTCCTTATTAAAAACTTTTTTTTCCTCAAAATTCCTCAAAATTTCTCAAAATCTCACTTTTTCTCATTTTTTCTCATGTTTTCCCATGTTTTCCCATGTTTTCTCATTTTAAAACTCTTTATAACTCAAAATCTCTCAATATAACTCTTGAAAAAACCTAGCCTATCCAGAACCCACCTGGGTCAAGGTAGTACATTACATTTGGTGATCAATTGGAAAAAAGGACAATGTGCCAGATCATCTTGTCTGTGCTTGTTGTGGTCCCTCTGTATACATGATGTATGTGTAGAGAGGTGTTTCTTTAAAAGAACCATTGTGGACATGTGTTTGCCAACAGATGTGATGCCTGTGGTAGTGACTGAAATCAAGGGTGGGAGGAACATGTCAACCCCAGACGAACTAAACACCTGATTAGTATCATTGCGAATCAACCCATGTGTAAAGCAGATTGGCACATTTTAATTGTGCAGGGCTTCAAGTAACCAGCCAAGATATATTCAAAATTCAGGATTGGCATGTATTGAAAATTGCAAAATGCAGATAGATCGTATGAACTTTGCACGCACATCCACCAGCATGTGTCTCCCAGAATTGGTTCAAGGGGAAGCCTGCAGACAACCTACAGGAAAACCCTACATTTGCGAAGTTGAAATCACGTTTTCCTGTAGGCGCACCGCATGTTATGTTACATGTAATATCATTTTTCATCTTTGTTGGACATGTATTTAGCATCTGGGTTATTCAACTGCCGAAGCAACCTGTCAGCCGAACCGTGGCCCCCTGCGCATCCGCTGAAAAAACGGCGGGATTCACCCAGCAGGTTTGGAGCCTGAGTGGCTGATCCCAGGGCTGAGGAATGCAAGTTGAGACATGTCAAGTTGTCATGACTATTTGCAACAGTGATAGAACACATTTGATAGACTAGCACATGAAAGGATCGAAACACACTCATATTCAACGAAGAATAACTAACTGTGGTTTCTCTACCATTGCTTAAACCCTTCTAAATGTATGTCTTGCAATTTTTGATGCATGGAATTGATTGAGAATAGGACGCCCCGAGATCTGATGGTTAATCTGCATTTTCCCATCTTTTGCAAGGGCCATAAATTGAGAGTTCATCCCCCATTCTCAGCCAAGATATCAAATATGTTATTTGGAAATATCCCGTTATCTCCCAGTGCATATCATATCCTCATTGCCCATTTTTGACAGTTAAATACCCAATATATTACATTGAGTTGTTTATATATATATGCATAGATGTACATATATCCCATCCTCACCATGGGGCGTTAAGTTGGTCAATTATATATCACATCCCCTTAAAATGTATGTTAAGTTTAAGTTGGCTATACGTCCCAGGATGTCCCTTAAGATATCCCACCATAGCCCAAGTCGCTCGGGCAAGGCCAATGTCCCTCTTGCTGGAGGAGGCTGAAAAGCGATTTGAGGCGGGGCAAGGTGGACAACTCAAGAGAGGCTATTCATCATCATTGCGCATGATGGTATTAATGTACTTGTACAAGAGTTGTAAAATAATATAGTGTAATCATTATTTTTGTCATCATCATCATCATCATCACCATCATAATCATCATTGCCATCGTCATCGTCATTGTCACTGTCATTATTTATCACGAGTATCACTTTCATCATGTTGTATGTATTTTTCTTTGTATATATATATATGTATATACATAGGTACATTGATGTTTCAAAACCTATATGTAGATATGACTATAAAAGTGAATGGAGGCCTTTCAAGGCCTAGGTAGTTTGAATTAAGATGACACGGCATGGACAAAATGGGTGTCAAACGACCTCACCATACATGCTGCTTTGTAGCAGGAAAATTCATGAAATGACATGATTTGCGGAGAGATGTTCCTCATGCTCTCTATGTGGGAAACAAAGTGAATATTCTACCATACCAACCATATGAATGTGTTGCAAGGAAACGTTCACGTATTGGGCGGGAAATTATTTGAGATTAATCCAAATCTGGACCTGCACTCGATTTCACTTGGACCATGAAGTAAATTGGTTGGTAGCTCCAAATGCAATCCGGTATATATATATCTATACAGTGGATAATGATCAAATTGCGATCACCAGTTGGCTACATCCATCTGACATATCTAAGTGAAACTATTCATACTGGTATATGTATGCCATTGTATACCCATATGCCTAGGAACCTAAGTGATCCCTATTTTGGATGCTTAATCTCATTTAATCTCCCATGGGTCGCTCCAAAGCCTTCGGATCACTTTGGTAGGTGCCACCATTCGGTTTTGCCAAGGTGCGGCTGCAGCTGGCGCAGAAAGATGCTGAAGCGGAGCAAAGGACTTTGGAGGCCAAGGCGCGATGATTCGATCTGTCCCTGGATGGATGTTGTTTTTCCTATTGCGCATCTCTCCCAATATTGGTGTCCTGCAGCTCTCCAGCTGTCACCTTGCCATGCCGTTGCAGTACTTTGTTTTGCTATTGAACTGGTCCTCCTGTAAATGCCCGGTATGGCATGTGACCAATTTCCAGTGTCTTAGGGTTTTGGCCCAAGTCTAAACATCCGGCCGCCGCGCAATCCTTCCCGAGGCAAACATTATGGAGCTCGAACTCCGGGCTTTTACTGCAAAGGCACGAATGGCGAATGGCAACGCAAATGGGTCGAAAGTCGCCCAAGAAAACCATAGGAAACCACCGTTGCGGTTGAGAACCCTTCGGCCATTTTCGGCCCTGACCCACATGCCACAGGCCCTATCAGATGCGCAGCTGGCAGTAGACCGGGCTAAAAGGCTTGACCGGTGTTTCACCTTGGTTGGGTGTGTTACTGGGTTACCATGGACATATACATATATATATATAATTATATAATACTATATATATATATTATACCCTCCCCGTGTTGATTTTCACTACAAAATGTTATGACCTAGGTCCCGGAAATCTAACCCCAAAAAAAGTGACATGTCATAAAACCATTTAGTAGAGAATCATGATGTAATTTTCAATAAACAGTCCAAGTAAATATCACTAGATCCGTGATCACCATCTAGTAGGGAGATCATTTAGTAGGGATTTAAAAATGCCAGAAACCAGTTGGTAGAGGTCATTTTTGAGGTTGCAAAGTGGGGTTTATGAAACGGTCACAATGAGTGAGAAAAGGCAAACAACCATTTAGTAGAGATTCCATTCCGTTGCCCCCGATAGCCATTTGGCCGATCAATGTCCATCCAGATGAACCAGATCAATCCAGATAGTAGATGCTTAAAAAAAATACAAATTCTAGAATGTCAATGACAATGAATATCATGGATATTCCAGAGTTGAAGATAGTTGAAGGAAATCAACATATTGTAGCTGTTTTTCTCTACTAAATGGACCTGGTGCATTTCTCCAGTAAATGGCTTTGAGGGTTTTGGTCGAGTCATGTTGGTCCCTCAACTTGTAGTCAAATGAGGAGCATGTACTGAATGGAACAGGGATGAACAGGGTGTTTGGTCGAGTCATTTTGGTCGCTTAAGACACTTACAAAATCTATCCGAATCCAAATTTTGCACTTCAGCTGAACCAAAGGCCGCTACTAGTAGAGAAATTCGACCATGCATGCACAACCATTTAAATAGAGTTTGAGGCTACGCAAAGTTTATTCATTACAAAATGGTTTCGCAGCCCCATCCTCAAATTCACAGGGGGATATTATATTATTATATTATATTAGGTATATGTATATACATGTATATAGGAAAGTTATATGTTCCATATTGTTACTTTATTTTATTATACTTTATTATATTTTGTTTTATTTTAATATATGTTTTGAACTATATTGTTTCATATTATAGTTTATTGTTTTTCTATATATTATAAATTATGTATTGTCATTATTATTATTAATTATTAGTTTATTTTAATATATATATATATATATTAGCATATACCAGTAGTACCCGCACGAGGCGGGGCGGAAGTTGCCTTAAAGATATATAAGATCTTTCTCATCTATAGAACTTGCATGCGCCGTGCGCCAGCCAAGCCCGTGCGTGCGTGCACTCTGCGAAAGTCACATTTGAAGCTCCACTTCGCACTTCACACTTCTCCCTGCACTCTTCACACTCCACAGTGCACACTTCACACTTCTCACTTCACACTGCACTCTTCCCAATCCACACTTCACACTTCACACTCCACACTTCACATTTCACACTTCACAGTCCACACTTCACAGTCCACACTTCACACTTCTCACTTCTCACTGCTTCCTTCACACTCCAAACTTCACACTGCATTCTTCACGCCCCACACTTCACACTGCACTCTTCACACCCCACACTTCATCTCATCTGAGCTCTTCTCACCTTATCCCAACTGAGCTCTTCTCATCTTATCTCTTCTCGTATGTCATCTAAGCTTTCATGCGTTGGACGTACTTTCAACCTATCTCGGCGCTTCTGCACGTCAGCAAGGTTGAGCGTAACTCATTTCGATTCTTCTACATGCCAAAAGGCGTAGACCATAAAATATTTACAATATTGAGGTCATTAATGCCAAGCGTTGATGCATTGCATCAAATCGCACACACGAGGTACCTTTCATCGTCGCCTGCAGCCACTTTACACGGAAAAACACAAGGTTTCGTGCTCCGGCTTCCTCCCCAAGACATAGCCCATGCAACATCATGCAGCCATTACAATGCGGTTCGCAGCATCAACTCGCAAACTTGCACCTATCTACGCACAGAACAACACCAGAACACCAAATGACAACAGTCATGCAGCCATTACAATGCGATCTGCAAGCACAGATTCCAAAACACCCTATAACTACGCACACACAAGCACACCGAAAGCAGCTTCAAGCCACCGTTACACTGCGGCAAAAAAAAACGACAAACCGACCCCAGCCGCACCCGTCGCACACACGAGGTACCTTTCATCGTCGCCTGCAGCCACTTTACACGGAAAAACACAAGGTTTCGTGCTCCGGCTTCCTCCCCAAAACATAGCCCATGCAACATCATGCAGCCATTACAATGCGGTTCGCAGCATCAACTCGCAAACTTGCACCTATCTACGCACAGAACAACACCAGAACACCAAACCAAAACACCCTATAACTACACACACAAGCACACCCAAAGCAGCTTGAAGCCACCGTTACACTGCGGCAAAAAAAAACGACAAACCGACCGCAGCCGCACCCGTCGCACACACGAGGTACCTTTCATCGTCGCCTGCAGCCACTTTACACGGAAAAACACAAGGTTTCGTGCTCCGGCTTCCTCCCCAAACATAGCCCATGCAACATCATGCAGCCATTACAATGCGGTTCGCAGCATCAACTCGCAAACTTGCACCTATCTACGCACAGAACAACACCAGAACACCAAATGACAACAGTCATGCAGCCATTCCAATGCGATCTGCAAGCACAGATTCCAAAACACCCTATAACTACGCACACACAAGCACACCCAAAGCAGCTTGAAGCCACCGTTACACTGCGGCAAAAAAAAAGGCAAACCGACCCCAGCCGCAACCGCCGCACAGACGAGGTACCTTTCATCGTCGCCTGCAGCCACTTTACACGGAAAAACACAAGGTTTCGTGCTCCGGCTTCCTCCCCAAAACATAGCCCATGCAACATCATGCAGCCATTACAATGCGGTTCGCAGCATCAACTCGCAAACTTGCACCTATCTACGCACAGAACAACACCAGAACACCAAATGACAACAGTCATGCAGCCATTCCAATGCGATCTGCAAGCACAGATTCCAAAACACCCTATAACTACACACACACAAGCACACCGAAAGCAGCTTCAAGCCACCGTTACACTGCGGCAAAAAAAAACGACAAACCGACCGCAGCCGCACCCGTCGCACACACGAGGTACCTTTCATCGCCGCCTGCAGCCACTTTACACGGAAAAACACACGGTTTCGTGCTCCGGCTTCCTCCCCAAAACATAGCCCATGCAACATCATGCAGCCATTCCAATGCGATCTGGCACCACAGCTTCAGGAAACGCATAGAACTCCCACATCCCCACCTCCCTTCCTCACCACTCCATTCATGCAGCCATTACAATGCGATCTGCAACCACAGCTTCAGGAAACGCATAGAACTCCCACGTCCCCACCTCCCTTCCTCACCACTCCCCTTCATCACCACTTCCCTTCGTCACCACTTCCCGCCATCACCACTTCCCTTCCTCACCACTTCCGTTCCTCACCACTTCCCATCGTCACCACCTCCCTTCCTCACCACTCCCCTTCATCACCACTTCCCTTCGTCACCACTTCCCTTCCTCATCACTTCCCATCGTCACCACCTCCCTTCCTCACCACTTCCCATCGTAACCACTTCCCTTCCTCATCACTTCCCATCGTCACCACCTCCCTTCCTCACCACTCCCCTTCATCACCACTTCCCTTCGTCACCACTTCCCTTCCTCACCACTTCCCATCGTAACCACATCCCTTCGTCACCACCCTGTGTCATAGCTTCTTATTCTTTTGTTGTGTATTGTTAGATAATGTATTGTTCTGTGATCTACCACCCTTCATCATAGTCAATTGCATCAAGTAAAAGTCATTCGTAACTCGGAAGTATTGCTTCCCAACTTCCTTTGATTATATTATTCTGTATTGTTCAAACTTCCGACAAAATGGACTGATGGAAAAGCAGAGGTCGGAAAAGTCAGAGAAGAGACAGAGTCAGACAAAAGAAGATGCAGTTGTGCGAAAAGGTAGAAAAGTTGCGATTCACTGCGTTTTTCGAATGATTTGCGGCTCCAGAGGGTCGGAAAGTAGGCTCGCCAAAGCGGCGGGTGTGGAGCCATCTGTCCAGATGAGAGATGAAAAAGCCGGAGCACTTTTGGCCGTTGACATGTCAAAAAAGTGCACAGCATTGTGGCGCGAAGCAAATTTCGAAGTCAAAAGTGTAAAATACTGACCCGTTCGGAGCACTAGGTCAACATGTACAAAGCACCTCATGTTCGGACCACCTTTAGGATTGACATGTCGAACAGGTGCACGTGGTTGTGACGGGTGCGGAGCACTTTTGGACGTTGACATGTTGAAAAAGTGCACGCCGCTGTGGCGCGAAGCACATTTCGAAGTCAAAGTGTAAGAAACTGACCGGTTCAGAGCACTTTTAGACGTTCAGATGTCGTTTTCCGTCTTCTCAAAAATGAGAAAAACGTGAGGGCTTTGTAGCTGATTCAAAAGCATTGGCAGGCGTGGAACATCTGAAGAGGATCTGCAAAAATGCATTCCGCGTGGCAGACGCAGTACAAGAGACATGTTCATCAGAGATGTCAGGAGGTCCGGTTGCTGATTTCTTGAGAGCGGTTGCATTTTGATGCATCAGATCGTCAGGTTTGGTAAGATGATTTTGTGTGACAGGTTCAGCACTTCGTATGACCTGGCCTCACTTTTTCGTGCCAGGTCCAATATACTTTAGACAGATGGAATGGAAAAAACGCAAAACGCACTGGTACGAGGCCGTCAGCCCTGCACTCAACTTCCATTTGTGAAAGAAGTCTCGCAGAATTGCTTCGTTTTTGATGTTGTCAACATCGAAAATTGAGGAAGTCTCGCAGAATTGCTTTGTTTTTGACGTTGTCAAGTTCAAAAATTGAGGAAGTCTTGCAGAATAGCTTCGTTTTCAAGCTTGCAGATAGAAAGAAAGATAGATAGACAACTGCAACTAAAACTATAACTACCACTACACTACGCTACTACTACAACTACAGATGCAAATATACTACGCTACATTACACTCCACTACACTAGTTACATCTGTACTACCTGCAGATGACATGGGAGTTGTCGGACATACCCCCAAAAAACGCAAACTCCCATGTCATCTGCAGAGTGAAAAAAAATAGAAAAATGCATAAGTCCCGTGTCATCTGTAAAGTGCCTCGGAAAAAAATCGCATGACATGGGACCTCTGCAATTGTTTGGGCTCCAAAAAGATGCAAAACATGTCATGTCAACTAACTCACACACACTGTGCATTTCACATCCCACATGAACAAAGAAAGATAGTATATGAGTGTATGACTACCTGCTAGCAGTTGGAATTATCCAAAATTATACGTCAGCAGTTAGAATATTCCAAAGTCACATGAATCCATTCACCTCCTTGTTCTAGCAACTATTTAGCAGCTATTCAGAAGCTATTTAGCAACTCTTTAGCATTTGTTCAGCAGCTATTTACCAGCTATTTAGAAGCTATTTAGCAACTATTTCGAAGCTATTTAGAAGTCATTTATCAGTTATTCAGCAACTATTTAGAAGCTATTTTGCAACTATTTAGAAGCTATTTTGCAACTATTTAGCAGCTATTTAGCAGGTATTCAGCAACTATTTAGCAGCTATTTAGCAGCTATTGAGCAGCTATTTAGCAGCTACTTAGCAGCTATTTAGTAGTTATTCAGCAACTACTTAGAAGCTATTTAGCAGCTATTTAGCAACTATTTAGAAGCTTAGAAACTATTTAGCAATTATTTGGCAGCTTAGAAACTATTTAGCAATTATTTAGCAGCTTTTTAGCTCTTGAGTAGCTATTTAGCAGCTATTTCAGTAACTATTTGGCAGCTACTAAAGCTATTTAGCAGCTATTTAATACAGGTAGCTATTTAGCAACTATTTGGCAGCCATTTAGCATGTATTCAGCAACTATTTGGCAACTATTTTAGCAGCTACCTAGCACGTATTTAGCAGATCCCTATGATCATTTTCTCTACAAAATAATGAGGTGCAAACACCTCTCGAGCCAGTGCAGGGCCACCAGTTCAAATCCCAACTGTGCCTACACAATACAAGATTGAGCGTCGTCAAAAAGATTGAAGATTAATTTTGCAATACACCAGTTTGCTAGGAGATTTTTGTGAGGCCATGTTTTGCATTTTTGTGGAGGTTGTGTTGGATGTTTGTCATGCTTGGCTTTGTATTTTGTAGAGGCCCATGCATGCCCATCTTTTGTGAATGATTTGTGCGTTTCCTCGCCGAAATGCTTCATTCAGAATGGAAAGATAAGAGAAACACAGAAAAACAAAACTAAGCTTATATTTTCTACATTTTCTGTGTTCTCTTTATGTTTTAAAGTAAACCAATAATTTTCTTTTATATATATTTCTTTATTTGCATTAATTATATGTTTTCTTGGTTTTGCTTTACAACCAAAAACGCATATTCATTTTGAAAACCGTCCGGACGGGTCGGAGCTGAGCAGCTGCACCACACCAAGAACTGGAAAATAAGAAGGTAGGGATTTTTAAGGAATTTAAAAGTTTTTTTTTGAAATTATATAAAAAGAATGCTATGGAATTTAAAAGATTTTTCACAAAATTTTGAGGAATTTTAAGCAATTTTACGGAATTTTTCGGAATCTTGAGGAATTTAAAAGAATTTCAAGTTAAAGGATTACCCATGTCATCTTGGAAGTCCCATGTCATGTTGGAAGTCCCATGTCATGTGGTAAATTCGTCTTCCCATCTCATCCATCTCACTACCTGCCACTTCCCACCTTGGACGTCCCATCTCCTGGTAAATTCGTCTTCTCATCTCATTACCTGCCACTTTTCATCTTGGAAGTCCCATGTCATGTGGTAAATTCGTTTTCCCATCTCATCCATCTGCCACTTCCCATCTTGGACGTCCCATCTCCTGTGGTAAATTCGTCTTCCCATCTCATTACCTGCCACTTTTCATCTTGGAAGTCCCATGTCATGTGGTAAATTCGTTTTCCCATCTCATCCATCTCATTACCTGCCACTTCCCGCCACTTCCCATCTTGGACGTCCCATCTCCCGTGGTAAATGCGTCTTCCCATGTCATTACATTACCTGCCACTTCCCACCTTGGACGTTTGTGTTTTCCGGGAAGTCCCATGTCATGTGTAACTTTGCTCACTTATTCCCATGTCATCTGTCAAAATAATGGAAAAATACCTGCCCGTTAGGTCGGCGCATAACTCCCATGTCATGTGTAAAAAGAAGACATAGCAAAACCGATACATAAATCCCATGTCATGTGCCAAAAAACATCGGCTAAATCGGCCGCAAAGTCCCGTGTCATCTGCACCTACTATAATTACACTACACTACACTACGTAATTACACTACAACAACAACTACTACTACTACTACAACTACTACAACTACAACTACAACTACAACTACTACTACTACTACTACTACTACTACTACTACTGCTACTACTACGACTACGACTACGACTACGACTACGACTACGACTACGACTACGACTATACGACTATACGACTACGACTACGACTACGACTATACGACTACGACTACGACTACGATTACGACTACGACTACTACTACTACTACTCCTACTACTACTACTACTACTACTACTACTACTACTACTACTAACTACTGCTACTACGACTACTACTACAACAACAACAACAAGTACTACTACTACTACTACCACTACCACTACCACTACCACTACCACTACCACTATCACTACCACTACCACTACCACTACCACAACTACTGCTACTGCTACTACTACTACTACTACCACCACTACTACTACTACTACTACTCTAACTACTGCTACTACGACTACTACAACAACAACAACAAGTACTACTACTACTACTACCACCACTACCACTACCACTACCACTATCACTACCACTACCACTACCACTACCACTACTACTGCTACTACTACTACCACCACTACTACTACTACTACTACTACTACTACTACTAGAACTAGAACTAGAACTAGAACCAGCACTACTACTACTGCTGCTGCTGCTGCTACTACTACTACTACTACTACTACTAGGTGGTTCGCCTTTTGTTACGGAAGTTGCAACTTAGTTGCGGCACTTGCCGTTGTTGGGGAAGTTGCAAGTTAAGTTAGTAAATTTACTTTGGACCAGCCTGGGACTTAGGGACTTATAAGTCATGAAGTAAGTTCACTTATAAGTGGCTATGTGGCATGTCAAGTTAGTTATAATTCTCTAAGTGGTTCCTAGTGTGGGGTAGGTTAAGTGGCACTTACTATTGACTTAGGGTGAGATATAAGTTCTATAAGTTAAATGATCATGACTTAGAGATCACTTAGTGACCATTTAGCTTGGATTTTGAAATGTAAGTTTGTGCAAGGGTTTTGGGTTAGCTCTGAAATCACGATGGTTTTTGCAGCCATTTTGGCTGCAGGCATGTCGGTTGAAAAGCAATTGGAAGCTGCGCAGAAATTCCTAAGAGGAATTCGTTCGCTGACCTCCTACGAGGAGGTCAGGGATAAACAGGCGCTGCATGTGGGTGTGCAGAAAGCACTGGACAAAGTGCAGTGCTTCGCGGCAGCTCAAGCGGCTGCGTGGCTGGCACAGGTGCAGCCCGACTTCTGGGGTGACTTCCAAGCGGAGTCCTTCGGTGAGAATGTTGCTGTGAAAACGAGGCCTGTGGAAATCGATCAGACTCGTTGCTTGGACTCTACGGGAGCCTGGGCATGCGCAGAGGGAAGGGCTGCAGACAGCAAGGTCTTGAAACGCCTGAGAACCTTGTTGCTCTACGGGCAGTGGGGCGCTACACATCGGGATGTGCCTCCACATCCAATACTACATGGTTTCTCTTTGATTCCGGCTTCCTACGAGGAAGTGACGAATGCCTGGCGTGAACAATTGGGTTGGAATCAGATGTACCTGTCTGACGACTTGCATCTTGCTGGCAAATGGCTGGCGATCTTGGCATGGCACCTCTCTAGTCTCTAGGCGAGAAAATCGCATTAGGGAATTTCTCTGGTGTCGACGCTGTGCATGGCTTCTACGGCAAGCTCGACGCAGCCTACGGGCTGCAAAGGTGGAGGCAGAAACATCACCATAAGGATTCACCCAAAAAATTCGTTGTTTGTCCGTGTCTGCGGATGTCTGCGGATGTCTGCGGACAGAAACTGACATGTCTGCGGCACTTGTCTGCGGAGCGTGGAAAAGGTGCTTCCGAGTGGGTTTCCGTGTGTCTGCGGTGTCTGCCAAGAGGGAGAATCCTGCTGGGACACATGGGACATGTCTGCGAGATGTCTGCGGGATATGCAACCGGCAGAATCATGTCTTCCTAAGGATGTCTGCGGGTTTTCTTTGAAAAAGTGAGAAAAAATCAAAGGTGCATGGGACATCGCCTACGGGGCGATAGCGGGGGCAAGACCCAAGTTTCACTATGCGCTCCATGTCCAAGAACAAATTCACAGATGGCGGCGACACATTGATTGCTTTGCTGGGGAACGCAAGCATCGTATATTTAAGTCCATTGTGGCTCGGCGCCTGACACGGCTGAATTGCTTCACCCGGAGCACGCTGCTGCAAATGACAGAAACGGAACTCACTACGCAAGACGTGGTGCTAGCAATGGAGCTCGGAATATCTCCTGAAAGCTTCTTTGCCAAAGGCATCCAAATCTATTGCGTCGAATACCTACGTGGTAGCTTCGTCCAAATGTCAGCTACGTGTTGCATAGAAATCTTACATGGTCTGTCAAATGCACATGGCTTCTACGTCGCGGTGCGAAAATTGCAATCCTTTCTTGCAAAGAATCATTATCAAATGGAAGCGCCTATCTGGCGCAAAGACAATCCTTGCAGCTTCTACTTTGATGCACGAGGAGCGTATGCGTTTGCGACGCCAAGATCAAGACGGTCTTTGGCTTTTACGTTAATCCACGACATCAGGAAGCAGCCAAAAAAACAAATTTGACGGGCGGAGAACACCCCAAGACCATGTCAACATCCATGTTTTCAAAAATGATAAGCATTGCAAAAAATCCCTAGGAAACACTTAGCTCACTTAGCAGCCACTTAGCTCCCACTTAGAACACCATCAAACCTAAGTTTCCTAAGTGCCACCTAACGGCCAGCTAAGTTCCTAAGTGCCAAAGCGGCTCTATAGTATGGTTTAATTGTAATTTAATATTAGCCCTTAAATTCTTTAAGTTTAACTTACTGAACTTATAACTTCTTTAAGTTGTGTTGAAGCTAGAAAAGCTGTAAGAAAAAACTTATTTCATTTTTTACCACAAAGGCTGGCGTGAAGAGAGATCAATTTGCTTGGTTTTGATGCTTTTCTCTAGAATCAAAACACCCTTCGGGGATTTCGACCAAATCGTTTCTGTTGAGACGCTGCAAGCTTTTGCGGCTCCATGAGCCGCTTCAAATCAAAACTATTTGCTAGACAATGGCGGCTCATTGGGCCGCCTTGAAACTAATCCCAAGGGCTTGAGAATAATCATTGAACCTTTCATTGAAACCAGACCTCAGCGAACTGAACTTTAAATAATCACGGTACCATTGACAATTAGCTGGGCTGCTCAATGAGCCGCCTTCGAATCTAAGATTTTTGAGTCTGAAGATTCAACTTTGAAAAAGCATAAAGTGAAGTGGTTTTGCAATGATAGTTTTGTGATGCAGCAGATATGCAAGAACAAATTTATTTTTGACAGATTTGGAAAGCTTTTCACTCTGCATAGTGCAGTATGATTCGAAAAATCAACAGAAACAACAATATTCATAAAAGGTGAAAAATGTTACACACAATTATACATTATTATACATTTTTTACATTGTTATACATTTTGCTGTTTGAGCTATACATGTATAACATCGTTTCTGTTTGAGTTATACATGTATAACTTCATTTCTGTTTGAGTTATACATGTATAACATCGTTTCTGTTTGAGTTATACATGTATAACTCGAACCCCGTTTTAGTTTTACATAACTATACATTCTTATACATTCTTATACATTTGTTTTTTTAATATCGTTTATAGATGCATTTAGTGAGGACTTGTTGTGATAATCAGGTACATGTGAAACGGGTTGATTTACATTCACAGCTTTGTCATTTTTTGAAGGTATGTTTGAACTTGTGATTGGAAAATGTTGGGCTTGTGATTTGAACTTGGCTTGAAACATTTGTTAAGTCGACATCTATCACGCAAACATTGCTGCATTTTTCCAGCATCGACAACGACATCAAAACTGACTTCACCGTTTCATGTAGTCAAAGTCAACATTTAGCTAGGTTCAAGATAGGTGGTAGAGGCCTTAAGTAAGATCCAAACATGTCTGGTACGTACGGCTGGTAGGTTTGGTTTTCTTGGTACGGTACGGTTGGTACATGTGGTACGGTACGGTTGGTACGGTTGGTACGCTTAGTAAGGTACGCTTACCAACCGTACCGACCGTACCAGTGAACCGTACATAACCGTACCACCGTACCGTACCAGATTAAGGGGGGGGTCAAGGGGGGGGCGTTTTGGATGTACCAATACTAAAGTAGTATTGGTACATCCAAAACGCCCCCACCTTGACCCCCCCCCTTAATCTGGTACGGTACGGTGGTACGGTTATGTACGGTTCACTGGTACGGTCGGTACGGTTGGTAAGCGTACCAAACGTACCTTACTAAGCGTACCAAGCGTACCTACCCAAAGCGTACCAAGCGTACCAAGCGCACCAAGCGTACCGTACCAAGCGCACCAAGCGTACCAAGCGTAGCGTACCTATCTTATAGCTGGATATCAAGCACCTATCTTGAACTTAGATAAGTCAACATCTCACTTCTGTTTCTTGTTCTTCTTTTTCTCGGTTTTCTTGTCCATGGTTTGGTCCGGATAACAAAGGTTCGGACATGTTTAAACATTGCATTGGCCCACGTGTGTTTGTTTACACATTGGAGCGCAGCCTTTTCGAAACAAAAAACAAGGTTCGCAATGTTTTGCGAGTTCCAAAAAAAACTTTGCATTCTAACAACATATAACATCTCTCCATGCCAAGCCAGTAAAGAAGAGAATAGAAAACACATTTGAAACGCTTGATTTTTTCATAGTGAAAAAGTTAACTTCCCTAAGTTACTTGCAAGTTCTTTTTCGACTATTTTTAAACATCATTGAAAAAACTTCCCAGAACTTGGCAACTTCACGTCATATAACTCATCCAAATTCAGCTCCCGAACTTGCAAAACTTGCGACATTCACAAGGCTGTTACACCCAACTTGTAACCCAGCTGCAAATTACATGCAAGTTCCATTAGCAGAACCGAACCACCAAGTACTACTACTACTACTACTACTGCTACTACTATTACTACTACTACTATAGTACTACTACTACTATAGTACTACTACTACTATAGTACTACTACTACTATAGTACTACTACTACTACTATAGTACTACTACTACTACTACTACTACTACTTTAGTACTACTACTACTACTACTACTACTACTACTACTACTACTAGTACTACTACTACTACTTGAGTATTACTACTACTACTACTACTACTACTACTACTACTACTACTACTACTACTACTACTACTACTACTATAGTACTACTACTACTATAGTACTACTACTACTATAGTACTACTACTACTATAGTACTACTACTACTATAGTAGTAGTAGTACTACTACTACTACCACTACTAGTACTACTAGTACTTGCTACTACTACTACTACTACTAACTGCTACTACTACTACTACTGCTACTACTACTACTACTAGGTGGTTCGCCTTTTGTTGCGGAAGTTGCAACTTAGTTGCGGCACTTGTCGTGGTTGGAGAAGTTGCAAGTGAAGTTAGTAAATTTATGGTTTAATTGTAATCCTACTACTACTCCTACTGCTACAGCTACTGCTACTGCTACTGCTACTGCTACTGCTACTGCTACCACCACCACCACCACCACAGCTACAACTACAAATTGCAACTACATTACATTACACTACACTACACCAATTGCACTGCAGCACGCTTCAACTACAAATGCAACTACCACTACACTAATTACATTACATTACGCTACAACTACAACTGCAATTGCCACTGCAACTGCAACTGCCACTACGTTGCACTACGCTACACTACACTACACGAATTACATTACACTACACTACAACTATAACTACACTACTTTACCCTACGCTACACTACAACTTCAACTACTGTACGCTACACTACACTACATTACACTACACTAATTGCACCGCACCACAACTACAACTGCAACTGCAACTGCACTACACGAATTACACTACAGTACAACTACAACTGCGCTACACCACGCTACATCCAGCAGTTGCGGTGAGGTGGCCGCTGCAACCATTGCAGCCACTCCAAAAACTTCCGCCACCGCCTTGTGCGGTACTACTGGTAGCACATTTTTTAATATGGAAATATAAATATCCTTTGTTTTTTTAGAATATGTTTATGTTTATGTTATACTAGTTTTTGTTCATTATTTTTCAATATACATTTAAAATTATATATATAAATATTAGATTATACATTGATTTATGGTTAAAACAGAAACATCTTAAGATTTATGATTACTGTAGGTTGTGGGGCAGGAAGAGAGAAGAAATGCCATAGCTGGTGGAGAAAAACGTGTCAGTCTTGAGATTTCAGATTTGCCATGAAGATGAACAAGCGCCTTTGATGGGGACATATCCATGGAAATCAGAAGGCGCCCCCATGGGATTGTGTTGCCTAACAAGCGCCCTTCATGAGGGTTCCGCAAGTAGTTGCTGAGGCTTCATTGCCCTAATAGTGGCCGTCTAATGCCAATTTATGTATATATATATGTATAAAGGACATTATTTGATTATACGATTATATAAGGCTAATTTTATATTCTAATTATAAGACACGTTCCGTTTTTATTAACAATGATCATGATGCAAATGATGCAATGATTTGACCTTGAGCTAGGCAGGAAGCCGAAGCTTTGGAGGCGGCCCAGTTGGCCGAGCAGCGCGCCGAGAAGCAACGCCTCAAGGCGGAGGCCACGACGTGGGAGGAATTGGAGTTTCCCTTGTTGAATGATGTTTTATCCATCTAAAATGGGGATATATTATGAATATATCATGAGCATATGATGGGTATATATATATACAAATAAAAAATCTGATATTCCACTACTTTGATGGACCATAAAATTGGTTATATAATTTATTACCATTTGGTAATCAAACGTGGCTGGCTGGAATATCCTCTCTACATGGGTGTTTCTAGCTGGGAAATTTATCGAACTATTTTAAATGGGTGATTTCTCAGCGGATTATGTTTCCCCAACTGGTGTTTGAATGGAAACATCACCTATAAAGAAAGGATTGTCCAGCCAGCCATGTTTGGTTATTCTTAAAGCTTGCATGGCATGATCCCATGCTTTGACATGGATGAAAGAGCGACCCAACTGACCCAACTGCCCCACAAGAGAAATCCCCCCTGAAAATAACATGTGTTTGGGTTTGAAAATTGGTTTAATTTGCCGAGGAACCTTTGATATTCCGTGCTACTTGGAAATCCTTGGATGCTGATCCCAATTGACTGAAGGCATGACACCTGGAAGTGGAAACCCGGGAAACCCGGCATTTTCGTTTCCTAAACAACATGTATAGGATTGTATAGGGATTTTTCGATTGCCAGGTTAGAGTACCAGAGGTTATGTTTTTTTTTCCAAAGAAACCATGGGTCATTTTAAAAGTTTGAACCATGAACACGGGGATTCAATTTTGACTAAACCATCATAGTTAAGCCATAGGAATGAAGAGAGAGAGTTGCAGGGAACTTGACGTCCCTATGTTTTTCGGTAATGTAACCACCACTGGGAAAAATACCTGCCAAAACTTATGGAGACCATGGCGTTTTGGACTACACCACATGTCAGTAGCTTACTTGTTCCTGGACGTTTGGTTTTTCGCGGGTTTCTCTCATCAAAGGCGCAAATTGAAAGTCGAGGTTCCTACTTGGATGTACATCCCAGATAGTATATAAGATTTTTGCAACTGTTTACAACCGATATTTAGCGTGATGTATATATATATATATGAGTTATGTCGTATGATCATTAACCCGTTACAATGCCTTGGATGCACCCCCACGTAACCTCGATTTCAGAGGTCACAACTGTTGCAACCTACTTCTGTCCCAGGCTGAAAGGCAGAGGTTTGAAGAACTGCTTGCAGAAGAACGCAGGGAAAAGGAGGCCCTCGGCAGAAAATGGTGGCAGTGTTCATGGTGAACATGAGGTTCTAAACTATCTGATTTGGGGATTTCGCATTATCTAAACAACCAAAGTAAGCTACGATGTCCTTGTGGCTGCCAGGGTTTCATCCAAAGCCACACAGTATGTTCATTTCTTTAGACATTTTCACAGTGACCTGACAGCGACGGATATATATATATATATACAATGATATATATATATATATATAAACAATGATATATATATATATGTAAAATGATATATATATATATATCATGATATTTATATAATGATATATATATAATTATATATTATTATTATATATATATCATTATATCAATATCATGATATATTTATATATACATTTATATATATATATATATATTCATCATGTTTTTTATTTATATATAATGATGAATAAATATATATATATATATATATTCATCATGTTTTTTATTTATATATAATGATATATATATATATGCATATACATCTAAATACATTTGTGCACATACATCCACATGCATATGCATTCACATAGATCTACCTCCGTCTACATCTACATACGTACATGCACATACACATGCACAGGGAGATGGACAAAGGGAAAAAACGGAAGGCTTCTTGGATGATTGATGGTTACCATCAGAAGGACATACTAGGTACTACATATAGCGTGGTAAACACAATAATGAATATATAAACACCATCTCCAAGTTTATCCAAAAAATATTAGGAGTCCAGAAAAAATGGCTTCATTAGCATGCGGTTTGTATTTTACAGGTCTTTCCAAGCAAACGCCAGCACATCTTGGGAATTCAAATTGGACGTACAGGAACATTTGGCACCAGGTACGAATCTCGGACCTAAATCGTGTTTGATCGTTTTGCAATGGCTTCCGCAGGCTTTTGGCATACACTGCTTCTGCGAAGTGATGGCGCTGCCGTGTCTTGCGGAGACAATTCAGGTGGACAACGCGACATTCCACCGCTGGATGCCAGCATGTCATACACCCAGGTGTCTGCAGGCTGCGGCCATAGTGTGCTTCTACGAAGTGATGGCATTGCTGTGGCTTGCGGACTCAATGATGGGGGGCAATGCAACATTCCACCTTTGAAAGCCGGCTTGGCATATACCCAGGTTTCTGCAGGCTACCAGCATACAGTGCTGCTGCGAAGTGATGGTACTGCCGTTGCTTTAGGAGACCATGTAGATGGTGAATGCAGCATTCCACCCCTGGAGGGAAGTGCATCCTATGCCCAAGTGTCTGCAGGTCTCTACCATACAGTGCTTCTACGAAGTGATGGCACTGTTGTGGCTTGTGGAAAGAATTCATTCGGACAATGCAACATTCCTCCTTTGGATGCTGGCATGTCGTACACCCAGGTTTCGGCAGCCGAGAGTCATACCGTGCTTCTCCGAAGTGATGGCGCAGCAGTGGCTTGCGGAGCCAACGGATATGGAGAATGCACCATTCCACTTCCGAAGAAAGACGTAGTATATACGCAGGTTTCTGCACGCTTGTTTCATACTGTGCTTCTCAGAAGTGACGGCACTGCCGTGGCTTGCGGTCACAATATATTTAAACAATGCAACATACCACCTTTGAACGCTGGGTTATCATATACCCAGGTTTCTGCAGGCTGCCATCATACCGTGCTGCTACGAAGTGATGGCACTGCTGTGGCTTGCGGAAGCAATGATTACGGACAATGCAAGATTCCGTCTCCGAAATCATGGCGCGAGCTCTTAAGTTTTGCTCCCCCTAGCTGTGGCTACATTTGTTATGATCACAGACCACGTGTCAACGACCCCGTTCGCGTTTTGCAATTAAACTTTGTTTGTGAATATGGTGTGTGTATGCTGACATGCTCGAGTTTGGCTGGGCGTGAGGTGCTTTGTCTAGAGGCAGGCGTTTTTGACCTGGCCTCAGATACTCACAAGCGTGTTGCCCAGAAGTTGAATGCTGACCCCCAAAGTATTCAAGTGGTCTTGCCTGATGGACAGTTGTTGGCTTCAATCTGTGAAGCAAAACCCTTGACAACAGTTTCAGATTTGGTTGACAGTCTTGACAGTTGCAGCGTCGCCTCGTAAAAATGAAGTGGTTTGCCCGCGAGGCAATTCCTTGGCAAATTGGGACGACTTCATAATGAAGTGAAGGACCACTTCAATTCCCTACTTCACACTAAGCTGTCCCTTCATTGAAAACTGGAAACCTATAGCCAAATTTGACTGTTCAGGTGTTCAGCTTCGCCAAAAATTGACTATGACTCCTTCTGTTGGTTGCATCAAGCGCTTGGAATCATCATGTTTTTCCCCACCTGCCAGGTGAGGGTTGTTAGATTTTATGTCAGTTGCCTCCTCCTCCTGCTCCTCCTCCTGCTCCTCCTCCTCCTCTCCTCCTCCTCCTCGTCCTCCTTGTCATCCTTGTCGTCCTTGTCGTCCTCGTCGTCCTTGCTCAACTGCGACCCGCGATCCATAGTGTTCTCTGCCGGACCTCAACCACGACCATCTCCGCCCAGTGTTCCCTGTCGGACCTCAACCACGACCATCCACGCCCAGTGTTCCCTGCCGGACCTCAACCACGACCATGCACGCCCAGTGTTCCCTGCCGGACCTCAACCGCGAGTATCCACGCCAAGTGTTCCCTGCCGGACCTCATGTAGGAAGATATGGGACAAAGAATGTGCAGAAGGAAGTTAGAAAGAATGTCAGAAGATATGCCAGATAGAATGCCAGAAGATATGTCAGATAGAATGCCAGAAGATATGCCAGATAGAATGCCAGAAGATTTGCCAGATAGAATGCCAGAGATATGTCAGAATATATGCCAGAACATATGCCAGATAGAATGCCAGATAGAATGCCAGAAGATATGTCAGAATATATGCCAGAAGATATGCCAGATAGAATGCCAGATAGAATGCCAGAAGATTTGGCAGATAGAATGCCAGAAAATATGCCAGAAGATATGCCAGATAGATATGCCAGAAGATATGCCAGAAGATATGCCAGAAGATATGCCAGAAGATATGTCAGAATATATTCCAGAAGATATGTCAGATAGAATGCCAGAAGATATGTCAGGAGATATGCCAGAAGATATGCCAGATAGAATGCCAGATTGAATGCCAGAAGATATGTCAGATAGAATGCCAGAAGATATGCCAGATAGAATGCCAGAAGATTTGCCAGATATGCCAGAAGATATGCCAGAAGATATGCCAGAAGAGAAGATATGCCAGATAGAATGCCAAATAGAATGTCAGAAGATATGTCAGATAGAATGCCAGAAGATTTGCCAGTAAGAAAATGTATAAATGTCATGGTGGGGATCACACGAAGTAAAGTAATTTCATATTTTTTCCCTAGCTTATTGGCCTTGCCGTGCTGATGGAAAACATTGGTTCACGTTCACAAGAAATGCTCCTGGATGTTTCATCATCGTCATTTTGTTCGCAAGGCATTAGCCTAGTAAGTAGAGGCACATGTCTATTTTTCATAAGTTTATCGGCACACGTCTATTTTTCAATCATGTGCGCTCATGACAGCGCCTTCCGTCGGTTCAGGTGCAGATTTTCGAAATGGAAGCTTTGATGCAGCTGCTGCAGTCGGATGCCGATCGAGAAGTGCGGAGGGTCCAAGAGCAAATGTCAGAGCTGGAGGTGCTGGGTGCTGTCGCAGCGGCCTTGGTCCTAGTTAGAATTGAGGTCAACCATGATATTGTGAAGATATGTGAAGATTATAATCTAGATCTACTGTAATTTGATGATTCTAGCATTAGATTATCTTTATATATTTAATATCAGTTTGGTCATGTCGAATATTGTCTTAGCTAATATAAGTCTATTTATATAGTTTCAATCTATTTTTTATAATATTATATAATCTAATGTAATCTTAGCTAATAATAGCATTTTATTTCATCTCAATCAAATGTAGTCTATAATCTCATTTTACATTACTCAACCTAATTCTAATCTAATCCCAATCTAATCCCAATCTAATCTAATCGCTCTATTTGTGAATATACCCCAAGCACCGAAGGCACCCACCAGATAAATACGATTAAACACCCGAATATGCAAGGCTTCACCTCCTGAACTTTAGCCGTAGACGTCCTTTTCCCACTTGCTGCTTTGCTGCTTGGTATACGGGCCACTCACATTCAACATGAACGACCAGGAGGTAAACGACAACAAATGATCATCCTTATTATTATCTCTTTTAAACCGGCCGCTTTGTTTGTTCCAAAAGAACAATGTAAAAGTATGATAAAGTATGTAAAGTGGTGTCCCAGGTGGTTGGCTAATTTTGTCTATACCTAGGTTAGTCTTTTGAATTGATATGGATTTAGATGATTTATAATTACTTTATAGATGTTTTTTAATGATGACAGTGATGACATGGCATATTATCACCGCGGGTTATCGCGGGTTCTATGGCTTTCCAGACATTGGAGGCACCGGAAGGTGACGATCCGCCACTCCATGCCACTCCCCGTCGGCGCCAGGTGCGGGCTGCGACACGCATCGCGGAATGCCAAAGGTTCACCAGCAAGTTGCAGATCCAGTCAGAGCGCCACGCGGCGAAACAAGAATTAGTTCATTTGTACATAACTGATGACGATACATTTTTGTACGTACAATATAATATATGTATATATTTATGTATCACATCTATGCGTGTTACATATTTGTTCCCATACATTTTTAACGGAATATCCACAATGATCGGTGGAAGATCAGACGGAATATCCACATTGATCCACATAACATATTCTACTGTATATGAAGATATCGTTGAATCACTCAATATTCCATGGAATCATGACACAACTACATCATCATATCCTATATATATATATATACATGTGTGTGTGTTTTGTGGTAGAGATGTTGTGTTGAACTAATAAGCACAAATCACAAGTATCAAATGCACAAATAGTATCAGATGTAACCTTGATGTTCCACACCTGTTTTATTTGCGGATAGGTTACGTATACCAGTTGATATATATATATATATACTACATGTGATTCAACATATTGGGTATCAATATGTTAGTAATAAGTATCAATGTATGACCATGTTTTGATACTGCAACATCTAAAGCATCATGTTTCATCGCCCAATCGCCCAGTCATTGAGGCCTCGTGAAACGAGCGCAGACCTTGTCGGATGAGAAGACCCAGGCAGCTTGGTTCAGCTTGCTGCAAGCTGTTTGTTGGGTCGTTGCGATGGTATCAAGTATTTATTCCTATACATATAACATCATATAACTAGAAAGGGTTGGTTACATGTTCGTGCATATATACATATATATATATACATTTAGCGTACCCAATTTGCATGAAGAAAAATTGTTTGTATACATATCTATATAAATATATAGATATGCTTATGGTTACATATTATCATTATTATTGTTCTATTTGTGGATTAATATGTGATGTGTTTAAATATCATTCTAATTCTGCACGTCGGGTTGTACTGTAGGCGCTTCAGATTCAACAAGCTGATCAATTACGTGAACTTCAGCACTTCTTGGAACAGTGCCAGCTGGAAGCACGGCAAAGGCGGACCCACGTTGGTGAAATTGCGGTGATGGGTTCGCTTGCATCCCCCTCTGTAGACAAAAGACAAATATATATATATAGATAGATAGATAGATAGATAGATAGATAGATAGATAGATATGTATATATATATTATATAGAGATATGTATATATAGATAGATATGTATATATATGTGTGTGTGCATGTATCTAGATAGATAGATAGATGGATGGATAGATAGATAGATATACATATGAATGCCTGCCTGTGGGCTCAGGATGAACTCTTGGAACTCTTGGAGGGGGTGACGGAGAAGTTTATTTACTGGACATTTTGTCCGATTCATAACAAGTCCATCCCTTCAGTGACTTGCGGGGTCTTATAATTGGCAAAGGTGATGTTTCAGGCAAAGTGGTTTGCTGCAAGAAATCCCAACTGTAATCAAGAACACATTGCAACTAGATGGGTGTTTTTCCAGCCGGGCAAATGGATTTTCTGGATTTGATCGGACCTGCTTTGGTTTCTGTGGCAGGACGCTTTTTGATCTCCTGGGCAGAATTTCACTGATTTCAAGTGGTTTCCAAGTCCAAATTTCCTTGAAAATCTTGAAAATAGCTGAGGTGTCAAGTGGCTTTACCATATATACATCCACACCTTGGAATGTCATTGACCTACCGCGATTCTTTATAACTATACAATTACGGTTTGGTAATCAAGCCTGGCATGACACATTCCCTTTTTATAGATCAGTTGTTTTTTCTGTTGGAGATTGGTGATTGTTGGTTTTGAAGGCGATCCCACATGTACCAGTCAAGCATAGTCAAAGTGTGTTTGCCGTGGGGCCACTGATGTTAGCCATCAATCTTAAAGTCAATCATTGTGAAGTATAGTTTGTTTTGAGATGGTATGGCCCACTAGTTTCGAATGTACAAAACAATTGCTAACACACCAAACTTGGTGACGAAAAAACCCCCTTGCCTTAACCAATCAAGTCCGAACTTCGCTAGTTCATCAATTCAAGTGCTGTCATTGGTGTTCGTTTTTTTGTTTAACACGGCAGTGGTGTTTAGACAGGAAACCCTTGGCGATGCATGGAAGTGCTCAAAAGATCAGTGCCGCCATGGCGCCATGCAAACTATGTTCATTTGTCCATGCCATCTACTCATATATTTATATATATATATATATAAATATGTGATTTAGATATGCATATATATTTATATATAGAGAGAGTTTATGTTAATGCAATGAAATGTAATGTAATGTTATGTATGTATGCATGTATGCATGTATGTATGTATGCATGCATGTATGTATGCATGTATGTATGTATGTATGTATGCATGTATTCAGTGTATGTATGTATGCATGCATGCATGTATGTATGCATGTAAGTATGTATGCATGCATGTATGTAAGCATGTAAGTATGTATGCATGTATGTATGCATGTATGTATGTATGCATGTATGCATGTATGTATGCATGCATGTATGTATGTATGTATGTATGTATGCATGTATGCATGTATGCATGTATGTATGTATGCATGCATGCATGTATGTATGTATGCATGTATGCATGCATGCATGTATGTATGCATGTAAGTATGTATGCATGTATGTATGTATGCATGTATGCATGTATGTATGCATGTATGTATGTATGTATGTATGCATGTAAGTATGTGTGCATGCATGTATGTATGCATGTATGTATGTATGCATGCGTGTATGTTTATGAGATTTTGTGAGCCACACACTGGGAAGACCAAAATCATTGAAATTTGCATTTTATCCTCATCTAATCCTCATTGTCTAACCTCATTTAATTTGCATCCTGTTTCATGAACCTCATTTAATCCTCATTATCTCACCTCATTTTTTTTTGCATCCTGTTTCATGAACCTATGTATGTATGTCTGTATGTAGGATAAATGAGGATAAAATGAGGATAAAATGAGGATAAAATGAGGATTTGATGAGGAAGTGAGGATAAAAGGATAAAATGAGGATAAAATGAAGATTTGATGAGGAAATGAGGATAAAATGAGGATAAAATGAGGATAAAATGAGGACAAAATGAGGATACAATGAGGATAAAATGAGGATTTGATGAGGATTTGATGAGGAAATGAGGATTTGATGAGGAAATGAGGATAAAATGAAGATTTGATGAGGATTCGATGAGGAACTGAGGAGAAAATGAAGATAAAATGAGGATAAAATGAGGATTTGATGAGGATTTGATGAGGAAATGAGGATAAAATGAGGATACAATGAGGATAACATGAGGATAAAATGAGGATAAAATGAAGATTTGATGAGGATTTGATGAGGAACTGAGGATAAAATGAAGATAAAATGACGATAAAATGATGACGATAAAATGAGGATTTGATGAGGATTTGATGAGGAAATGAAGATAAAATGAGGATAAAATGAGGATTTGATGAGGAAATGAGGATAAAATGAGGATTTGATGAGGAAATGAGGATAAAATGAAGATAAAATGAGGATAAAATGAGGATAAAATGAGGATTTGTTGAGGATTTGATGAGGAAATGAGGATAAAATGAGGATAAAATGAGGATTTGATGAGGAAATGAGGATAAAATGAGGATAAAATGAGGATTGAGAATGAGGATAAAATGAGGATTTGATGAGAAAATGAGGATAAAATGAGGGTTGAGAATGAGGATAAAATGAGGATAAAAATCCCAGGCAAAATCTGATGCAAATTTAATGAGGTTCCAGAATGAGGATAAAATGAAGATTTCTTTTTTTTTTGCATTTTCCAATACCTAGCTTGCAGAAAATCTCATAAATGTATGTATGCATGTATGTATGCATGTATGCATGTATGTATGCATGCATGTATGTATGCATGTAAGTATGTATGCATGCATGTATGTATGCATGTAAGTATGTATGCATGTATGTATGTATGCATGTATGCATGTATGTATGCATGTATGCATGTATGTATGCATGCATGTATGTATGTATGCATGTAAGTATGTATGCATGCATGTATGTATGCATGTAAGTATGTATGCATGTATGTATGTATGTATGCATGTATTCAGTGTATGTATGTATGCATGCATGTATGTATGCATGTAAGTATGTATGCATGCATGTATGTATGCATGTATATATATATATAGATAGAGAGAGAGAGAGATCATGAGGTAAACCCAATGTCATAAACCTTCCTCAATAGAGGTGCAATTAGGGTATGGCAGTGGGATGCTGTTCATGACCCCCAGTCATGACCTAACTCACCGGAGAGAATCCTCGGGGGGTTGTCAGTGGATATGTTGGGATACCCATAACAACAGTTCTATAACCGTCCTTTATTGGATTCCCAATATATCCCAACATATTCATATATTACAGTTCATTGAACACACATCCCTCAATATCCATCAATATCCTTCAATACTACTATCAGTGAGCTAACAATATGAGGGATATACAGCAGGGTCAACTAACATATAGATGTGAAGCTTTACCCACCATTTGTAGATAATTTTGGTAGGGATTCCATGGGTAAACACATCTAGTAACCTTTGAGTTTCACTAGAACTGCTGCATCCTCCACCGTCCATCAGGGTGGACCGTGCTCAGCTGGATGCGGAGATCCGCATCGACGTGGCGGTGCGCAACGGTCTGCAGCAAGCGCAGCGGGGGCAGCAGGCCGCCGACGCGTTCCTGGGCAATTTTTGGCGTGGGGAGAACGAACTGAGGAGTTAAGCCACCAGGGGTGGTGATTCAACCAAAAATTGGGATTCAACCACAGAAAATGGGATCGACACATCAAACATGGAAATTTAAGCGTCAACAAACGTAGATTTAAACAGCAAAAACTGTGGATTTGACCAACAGGAATTGAGATTTAAGCATCAAACGTTGAGATTTAGGCATGAACAATTGGAGATTTAACCAGCAAAAATTGGGATTTTTCTTATAACAGGTGGGATAGTGGAAAATGAGGGAACATGTATCCAGACTACGCATTTATACACAGTACAAGTATATTGGATTTGTTTGCAGGAAAATCACATTGCAAATGGTTCCGTGTGTCTGAACATGTGGGATATCACCGAGCAAATGTAGCGGCATGGAGAAGGCGAATACGATGAACTTGTGGGTTTGGACGAACACAAGTAGGTAAGTGGCATCATTCCCAATATGACCTTTTTTCAAGTGGTTGAAGAATTGAAGAATCATGATTTGTGAATATGTTGTTCTTTTCAAATCAATGCTCCACAGGCTGCTGACTTTGAACATATAGGGTAAAACAAAGTGATGAACAATATCCAACACTAGTTAGCGGGTATGGAAGGACAAGAACATATAGAATCTATATAGAACATGATGTGTTTATATGTATGTATAAGATATGACCGGTTTACCCCCATAGTTTGGGCGCAATTTGGTCGTCATGGCCACCTGGGTGCGCCACGGTGCTGGGAGCCACTGAGGCATTTGGCCTTGACGAGAGCTGATGTGGCTGGGACCCGACCGATCTGCTCCGAAGATACCAAACAAAAACATAATTTGTAGCATTTTTCAAGAGGAAACCCACGGATTTCCATAGCTATGCCAGTTCATTGGAGGGTGGATCATCTCTAGATATGACTGATTTTTACTGAAGAGCCCTACGGCCGTCCTTGTGTTTTTTTTGGGGGGTTGAAACGTCCCTGGTCAACCCCTGCAAAATATAATGATAATGTTTCTACATGGCGTTGTCCAAAAAATGCCCATCATTTTCCCCATCAAAAGTGTCAGAAATTTGTGGAGGCGGGAGTTCAAATCGCAAATTTCTGAGTAACTCCATGTAGAGGTCCTGCACCTCCTGTTTTCGCCTGAGGTTGCAGCCTGAGGTCCAGGGCCTGCGCGGCACCAACAAAAACGCATACCAAAAAAAAGGCAGATGTTTGAAATCAATGGTGTTAATCATTAACTACGGTACCCATGGTAGATTGTCAAACCCAGATTGGAAACTACTGTGCCAGATTGTCAAGCAGAGATTCAGCAATTTCACATATTAATGATTATAGAACTATACCATACTATACATATTTCCAATGTACCATATATACCATATATAACTATTATATTCTAATGACTCCATGATTTCCAATGTGAATCCCATGGCTTGCCCCGTGTCGCCATCTCGTTGCTTCTCTTTCAGCGCGTCTTTCGATGCTTTTCGGCCAAGCCGATGCCGGGAAGAAATGGCCGAAAGGAGGAGATTTCCAAGATGTCCCCGTTATTTAGTTATTGTTTGAATACAGTGTAGACATGTGTATACAATATACACATATATATATAATATTATATTATATATACTATATACACATACTGAGCTGCAAGCTACTTTCTTATCAATCTCAAATGCAGCTGGAGAACCCAAACATCCCAGACTTGTGAAACCATCAAACCGATCCCGTGAAACCATAGATTTGGGACCTTGGGTGGGCAGGTGTGTCAATGATGGATTAATCATTGATTAATCAATATTGAGGAATGCAATGCAACAGAGCAAACACCATTTGTTCAAGAAATGAATGGATACATCCAACATAACTATGGAACATTACGTTTCGAAAATGGAGATTGTCCATTACAAACTGTTAAATTACAATAGGATGACCAGCCACTTGACCGATGCCTTATGATCTTTTGAACATCGATCAAACAAGTGCGCGGCATTGACCGCACAGAGAACAGGATAGAAAAATGTATTACGATTCGTTTTCATTGGCTGTAGAAGTAAAGCTGTATATGTAGGATTGCAGTCACCCAAAGAACCCAGGCACTGTACAGTATGTTTACCCATTGATTGGATCAGGTTACGGCTACGGGATTCTTTTGTTGATAGTTGTTTGTTCGCTTGCATGATTATTTTGCACCACTAATTTGCTATCATTATACATGTTTTGGTACGCATATATCTATATATACACATATGCAGATGCATGTGCACATACATACACATACATACACATACATACACATACATACACATACGTACACATACATACACATACATACGCATACATACACATACATCCATACACGCACACACATCCACACATCCACACATCCACACATACATAGACACAGACGGACGGACGGACGGACGGACGGACGGACGGACCGGACGGACCAGACGGACCAGACGGACCAAACGGACCAGATGGACCAGACGGATCAGACAGACAAAACAGACAGGACGGACCAAACAGACAGGACGGACCACACAGAGACAGAGACAGAGACAGACAGACTCTGACAGAACACACAGAGACTGACAGATCTGACAGAGACTGACAGAGACAGACATAGGCAGAGACAGAGACAGAGACAGAGACAGACAGACAGACAGGGACAGACAGAGACAGACAGAGACAGACAGAGACAGACAGATACAGACAGATACAGACAGATACAGACAGATACAGACAGATACAGACAGATACAGACAGATACAGACAGATACAGACAGGCAGGCAGACAGAAAGACAGACAGAAAGACGGACAGACATGCAGACACACATACATACATACATACATCATTCATATATGACACACACACATGTATTATATATATATACTATGTGTGTGTACAAACATCGACAAACATGATGTACGATTTTTTAGTGGGACATATGGTTTTGTGGAAGGGCATTTGTTTGCAAAAAAATCAGCAAAAACAGCCCTTCGGCCGTGGGCAGGGCGATGGGAACATCAAGAAGGTCATGAACAGGACGATGGGGCAATTTTCCGGCGCTTGGGACTTGAAGGGCTGCCCTCACATGATTTAGGGAATGGAACTAGTCCCAGTTTTCAGTATTAAATGTAGATAGCCTAGATCATTTTAGATCATTTGGATCATCTAGTTTTTTTTGGTGTTGTTTTAAGGTTGTAAAGCATCTACTAGTTTGGTCCGGAGTATGGTAGTTATTTATAACTATAGTTGCGTGTTTTTCTCAACACATATTAATTACAAGTAACTAGGGGCACCACCTTGTACACGGCGGTTGCTTGGCAATGTGGTACGGTGACCATCGTTGCCACTGCGCGGTGGCCACGAAAACATTTCACAAGGCCTCCAGGCTATGAGCAATCTTATGTGGATATAATATATATATATGTATTTGTATATGTATTTGTATATATATACGCATATAATTATATGCGTGCATGCCACCCTTGCCATCAACTATACAAAGGCTTCACAGAAGTAGTCGTTCTCACAATCCCATACAATTTGCTGCAAAAACATATTGCAATCCTGATTCATGGGATTGTGTACATCCTGACGTTTGCCAGGAAACGGAGTTACAATTAATATTGCAAGGATTTGTAAGCTATGCAGCTACGCATTTTGTTACTTGCTTTTGGAAATCCATGTGTGGAGCGCACAGAGAGAACAAGCAAAAACAACCCCAACACAAATACAAAAAAACAATCTGTATGGCAAGCATGCTGCATATATTTGCGCATGGTATGACAGCTGTTGCTTTCCTGCCAGGATCAGCGATTTCGAAGCACAGGTGTCTTCACAACTTCAGGTTGGCAATGGATTGGCAACGGATGTGCCTTTTTGTTGTTGTGGGGTACAGGTGAAGATGACTACACCTTGCTGAGTGGATACCGAAGATTTGATAAGCTTGTATAAGCTTGTTGTTTTTCTAAGTCGCAACATGACCGTCCACCTGGAACACCGGATCAGTCTTGATCATTTTGGTTTCCATGCCAAGACAGTTTCCGGGGTACGCTAGGCTATGGCTATGATCTGCATGCTTTCTCCTTCTAGTCATACAAGAATATACGAACAAATTGCAGACCTGGCTGCGCATCCAGACACGCCAGCCGCTAAGCATCTCCGCAGCCAGCTTCACCTCAAACGCTCTCCGCTTTTGAATCCAAAAAAGATCTCTGTTTGATCATGCTACTTGGCCACTGGTAGTCATGTTCCTCTTAGCCAAGTAGTTTGTGGTTAACAACCCCATGACTGGTAGATACTGATAGTATAACTAGTATAGATATATTGGTTAGTGCCTAGTGTACCTAATATTAGTCCCTAGTGTGTTGGGATGTGGTGTGATGTTGGTCCCCGCAGGTGAAGCCCAGTGGCCCAGGTCACCTCCAACGATCAAACCTTGGTCGTTTGGGGATATATTGCACGCAGATAGACAGATAGATAAGTTAGGATAGATTAATTAGCTAGTATATGATAGAAAAAAAACTAGATGACATCAGATCAGATCGGATTAGATTGGATTAGATTGGAATAGACAGATTAGATAGAGTAGATCGATGGATTGTGAACTCGTCCCAGGTTCTGCGCCTGCTGCACCGCTGCCGACACCACACCCATCGAGAGTGTGTCTGCACCAGCGCCCATCCCCATCAAGGACCTGATGAAGCAGCCGCGTTGTGGTTTATATCCCATGGAAACCACCTAGCAGGAGCACCAGGAACATCAGAACTGGGACAGCTATGGGTTTTTCTCAAACATGGGGTACCACATGGGTACCCCTTAAAATCCATGGGTGAACCATCATATTCCCAGTTGAAGATGCCATGTTGATGCATTTTGGGGCATTGGATAGTTTTGTCAAAGCCATACTGAAGACTATTGAAGACTATCGCCAAGGGCATTAAGGGCAGCCCGGGCATTCCCCAAACCGGGGCCCCAAACCCGGACCAGGATGAAACGGAACCCGTGATGCGGATGCCGATTCCGGAGGCAGCCCCCGAACCTGCCATGGAAGAGAAGGTTGGCGGATCGATCCATGTGGGTTCCAGCCAAGGGTAGCTATCCATATGAGGATCACCCCATTTAAATAAGTGGTTGATAAATGTTGATAATCATAGTGTTATAACATGTTATAGCCAATTTATATGGTGGGAGATGCCACGAACCGGGGACTTACGAACCAGTCATTGCTTCACTGGCGTTGATTTACTGAAGGGTAAGAACTTTGGCAAACTCAAAACTCTGTGGTCAAACTTGGGCACGGTATGATGCCGGGATATGTGCGTTTTGCAGTTCTAATGACCCCATACCATGAGAAAGATGCAGTGTATTTTTTTCTTCCCCCAATCAGAAAATTGTTGCAGCAGAATCGGACCGGCAGGTAGCCGACCTTTCTCTTGTGGGTTTCCAAATCGAATATGTGACAGCCAATGACATGTTGTTCTGTTTGTTCTGATTTTTAAAACCAGGCATGCGTCGCATAGTTCTCAATCAGATGTTGCATGAATGACATGAATGTATGTTGAGTGCTAGATTGATTGAATATGGAGTACCTCGGCTAAGAGATATAAAACTGGCAATTCTCTAGGACGATGGGGTTCTGGTTCTGGGAAAGCCTGGGCACTAAGCATTTAGTGTTTGAATCTAGTAGCATTGAACAAAAATCCTATAGATGTCAATTCGCAATATATATATATAATAGGAAACAAATATTTATACGTTATATTATATATATAAAGATCACCATATATATATTATAATGATATAAATGTGTCGATACTCAGGGGCTTGTCATTTGGCCACCAGGAACCCGATGCCACTGTCACCTTTCAATTCCTCCTGCCGGACGGCTCCACAAAGGCCATGGCGTCACCAGCCACATGGCCATCACTGGGGGCTCTTTTTTTGGAAGGTATGCTTCAGAAAAAATGCACATATCTATCATATGATGGGATGATACTCTTTGGTGGTTTCTAACTTTTATTTTAGTATATGTTTCAATTAAAAAAGAGGCTACAGGATGATGATGCCATCCATTCCGCCAGGACATCGTTGTGAAATCGAAGCCTCTGGGCTTGGACTTCTACAAATCTGCCACTTGGAACCATGGGACCGTCTTCCACCTTCCACAGCCACCATCCCTAAGTGAGGGAGACATTTTTTGAGACAATCACCCCAAGTAGAGGTAATAAACATTCATAAATTCATAATTAATTTGAGGATGGGGTATCAGAGTAGATGGGCGATGTTTCGCTTGTAACTCGAGATTCTGCTCGCTTGTAACACAAAAATTGTGCCCGCTGCTTACTCGAAACAAGGTGCGGTTCATATCCAAAGCATGTGAAGCCAGAATAGTCAACGCGTCGGGATCTGAAGAGGTATTTGTTTTGGGCCATATTAGAAGGTTTGCCAGTGCCAGTGAACGTTAACATCCCACCCCACCCCACCCCAACCTTTGTTTGGATCGAAACTGTGCTCGGGTCGCAAGTGAGCGCTTTTCCGAGTCGCAAGTGATACCTTGGCCCGTGTAGATCCCCATTTCTGTAGAAATTGCAGGTTCAGATTAAGTTCAGATATCTACGTTTCTATCGTTCAATATTATATATATATATATGCAATATATATATGTATATATATATATATATATGTATATATGTATGTATATATATATATATGTATATGTATATATATATATATCGAACGATATACTCCCCGGCTTATTGGGTATCACTTAAGTGTAACATAGTGTAACCCACAATAGAGATACCTGTAAGCCAACCAGATGCAGATAGATGGAATGTTTTTTAGCCATAATGTCATATTATGTAATTAGTTTGTATCTAATTTAAGAACACGTGCCCTTCATCATGGTTTCCATTAAAACCTCTGTGTAGTTTTGGGATTTCCCAGCGAGCCAACCATGTTTGATTACCGTAGAGTAGCGCCTATATATCATTGGCCTGTATACATCATATTCCCACTAGATCTGCGTTTTGATGGTTAATTCATGTTAATCCATGTTAATCCCCCATTATATTCCCATTCTATCTATCCCACTGTTTTTCTCTATATGTCTTGGTGAAGTCCCTATTTTAGATGGTTAGATCACAATCAACTACCAAAAACCACAGTAATATTCCATTGACATTCATTTGATATTCCATTATCCCCTGTTTTATGGTTAAGCAATGTTAAATCCATCTCAAATGGGACCAGGGTTTTCCCTGGCACGGGATCCTCATCTTGGCTCAGATTCCACTCACGGTGAAACGCGTGAAGCCCGACGCGTGTGCGGAAGTGGCAGATGTGCAGCCACAGTGGGTGTGGCTTGGCGCTGGTTGGGCCTTCATCGATGTCATCAATGGGGATTCTATGGATGTAATAAATAAATCGTCGTAATTTTATGGGTTGAATGGGAAAATATCAGGTTTACCCTCCAACTAACATAAAACCCAGCTTGAGTGGTCTGGGGAAACCATGGGTTTTCCGCGTCATTACCCCAGGATACCATGTGGAAAATCCCTTCTAATGGAGGTTTCCAGCAGATGCACCGAATGTGTCAGCGAAGAGGGCACCCTCAAGGCGCATGCTGATAGTACATAGCTATGGAACAGAAAACACATGAGTTTCCAGTTCGGAAAATGTTTTTTATATAAATGTTGTCCATTGTGGGTAATTTACAGATTCTGTGGTTCCTTTTTCGGCGCCAAGGCTGAAGAAATGCGACGGTGACGAGATGAAGGAAGATTTGAAGGATGCCATGGTCATTTGGCCCGCGATTTGAGCCGTGCCAAGCAGCAACATTTGATGGCAGCAGCAAGAGAAGAATGACATGAAGACTCATATTTGGAAGATCCATCATATGTTGCATGAAGTAAACTTTTATTTTGTTTTATTGTGATACAAGATGATACAATGTGTTCTACAATTGTTCAACCACCCTTTGCTGTTGTGGTTTTCTATGATCTTCTTTTTTGCCATGGTGGCCCCCATCTGATGTTCACACTCAGGCGCAGTTGGTGAAGGCTGTGCAATATTTGAAGCAACGGTGAGCCACACGTGGCGCACGAAAAAACATGTCCCGGATCCCCAGCTGGCAGGTTTGACAATTGAAAACTCGTAACAAATGGGTATATAACCTTGGTTATTATATAATAGAAACCCTAGGTAAATACAGTAACCCTTCGTGAATTTACTACTTGGCCGACAGGAATGAATGAAAATCAATCAGTAGATACAATATTTGTTTTATTTGGACAGGCTGTAATCTAGTTCATGAATACGTTGCCATGATTGGGAAATATTGGGAATATGTACGAACCAGCCAAGGTTCAGCACGGCAGGGGTTTCATGTGGTAGCGATTATGATTCTTTGAAATGGAACCCACAAGATGGAGAAACACATGGAAAAGGAACAAGTTCTCCATTTGTTCAGTGACCTGTATGGATGTAAAGGGCTGATGGCAACCCACAATTCATGAGCCCGGGCTGATGAGTTTGGGTTTACGCATTGAGTGGTGTTCAAAACCTTAGGTTGGTGATTGTAGGCGGTTTCAGTGCCCAATAAATTGTGGATTATCACAGTTTGCAAAGGGGACCCCCTATCCACCAATCAGTATAATTGAATGACAGAGGATTTTTCGCGGATCAACATTAACCATAATTACTGTCAATAACAGCTATCCAAGACATGGCTAGATATCACTCGTGAATACTATCGGTGATATCCCCGTTTATACTTTGTGTTCATAGATTTGGGTTAACTACAGCAATCTCGCAACTGCCTCATTTTAGATGATGGCTAGTATGGCGCACGTGGAATTATCACCAAAGTGGTTTATTTAGTTTCGGAATTCATACAACTCTGCAAGATTAGATGCACTCCATCAATTTTGTGGATATGCAATGATATATAGAACATTACATAGACATTCAAGGAGTTGACGTTAAAAGAAACTATGGGTAATCATAAATCAATTGTTGCTGGACAACGATTTGCAATGATATTTGTGTTATTGATTTCAATAGTCAATCAATACATATAGATTCATATAGAATCAAATTAGAATCAAATAGAATCATATATATATAATATGGAAACATAGAAATATAGTATCAAATAGAATCATTTAATATGGACACATATAAATATAGATATCATATAGAATCAAATAGAATTATTTAATATAGAAACATATAAATATAGATATCATATTGAATCATATAGAATCATATAATATGGAAACATATAGATATAGATATTATATAGAATCATATACAGAATCATTTAATATGCAATGGAAACATATAAATATAGATATACATAAAGAATCAAATAGAATCATATAATATGGACACATAGAAATATAGATAGATATCATATAGAATCATATAGAATAATATAATATGGAAACCTATAAATATAGATGTCATTTAGAATCATCTAGAATCATATAATATGGAATCATGTAAATATGGACATCATATAGAATCACATAGAATCATAAAATATGGAAACATTTCAATATAAATATCCTTTCGAATCACATAGAATCATACAATATGGAAGCATATAAATATAGATATACATATAGAATCAAATAGAATCATATAATATGGGAACATATAAAATAGATATCATATAGAATCATATAATATGGAAACATATAGATATAGATATACATGCACAGATGAATGATGGTGCAGGGTACATTCCCATGGCATTTGCACCCCCTCAGAGGTTACAGCTGCCATCAGTTGAACTGACACAACGACGAGCGGCCCCAATGTGACACGAGCGGCAAAGTGATCCAACGGAGATGAAACCACATTGTGATGCATGATGTTGTACATATATTGTACACAATTATATATAAGTTATATATTATTTATGATTATATATGTTTGTTTTTAAAGATATGTATATAATATGATATAATTATGTTCATGATTGTTCATGTAATGTATGTGTGTATGTATCAACGTGTTTGAATAGTCTCACAGCCAATTGACATTGTGGCTTTTGTAATTGCTATGTTCCCATCATCTACGAAAAGTAAAACAAACACTCAATTAATATAAGGGGATTAACCATCAACAATAAATAATTGATTTAAGATGAAGTAAACCCAAATGTAATAAACTATGAGAGGTTTGTGACATTGGGTATGCCTTCAGGAATGGATGATGCTTATTCTGACCCGCAGTCATCGTTTGTTACTGGGATGATTTATGGCATTTGGTGTGCCACATTGCTTACCATTTTGTTGACACACACTGGGGATATAGTGATGAGATAGTTGGGGATGTACTTTGGGGATGTACTTTGGGGATGTACTTTGGGGATGTACTTGGATATGTATCTAATAATGGCATTGGGTTCCTGAATACGGGATACCCCCAAATCCACGAGATAATCATGGTTTCTGTTGAAAGTGCCACTAAATGTGGTAATACTCGGAGGTTTTCCGCTCCGTAGCCGCCAACCACCATGAGCCCCTGCGCATCCCTACGGAGAACCATGATCCCCAATGACTTTCCTTCGGGAGGGTTACAACAAAGCAGTGTAGGCTATGGAATATGGTATTTGGAATGGCGTACCTATAGGGACCGTTTGAATAGGGAGATGTGCCATGGTTTCAATCTATAGCCGTATTTCATGTTTGGTAGGTTGGTTTGATGATTCCTGTCAGATTTGTTGATATGATCTTACCATATCTTACTTGGGTACAGATGAACTGGTTGTTTCTGAGTGTTCGCCAATGCAGTTTTGGACGACATGACGGACCACAAGGACTCAATCATTTGACATATTTTTAGGGGGCCAAACTACCAGCTAGCTATTGTTGTTTTGCTTCTTGTCAATGAATTTGTTTCCGTTTGTTTCCTTTGATTTTTGTTTAATCTGTGTCTACTCAACATATAGTAACTCATGTATGCATATGGGAGTGGATGCTCCAACAGAACGCAACAGACACATGTTCATGTGATATTCAATGTTGTCAGATCCCCCTTTCAGCAATATTGGGGATGGGTTGCAGCGACTAAATATGTCAGTGATTTCCCTCTCTGAAACGCACTGTACGATCCTGGATTTAGATCACTTTTGCTGTTTTTCCTTGATTTTCTAGGCCATCCTGCATCGCAGTCAAACTGTGGTCCAGCTGGCACCGACCTGCTGCATTCTTCAAATTTCATACGCTATCCTGCGCGCTGCGCTGGCTGTAAGGCTCGGAATTGCTGAACAAATTCTGAAAGGAGCAGTGCACCTCAAGTATATCTCATTATCATCAAATCAAATATCATACTGCCCGACAAAATGCATCCTAGGCCATAGTCAACATTCGCTGTCGTATGTTGATTGGGATATCTCAACCAATCAAGGGATCATCAGGGATCATCAACCCAAGTCTTACATGTGGATCTGTACGGGGTTTTCTTGGCGTTTTTGTCAGTTTTCCAAATCTTTGTCCAACTCATATCCGATAAATCAGAATCCATAGCGAACCAAGGCGTAACCCAGATATCCCCCAATATTCCCACAGTATCCCAATGCAAACAGCTTGACTGTTTGTTGATCCATGTCGATCAAAGCCGAAATGCAGCTCCAAACATGCCGTCGAAGCCTTGCAGCTGAGTCGCACTCTCACTGACTAGCCAAGCGCCAACCGTTGATGCTTCCACGTCGGAGTTCTAAGTGAGAGATTCAATTTGAACAAAAACGAATAAACAAGACAAGCGGAACTAGAAACACATTGTATGTACTGCATTTATATCTTCATTGCTGTCCAGTTAAGTCGCGTTTTATGAATGGTTAGTAGAGCATGGTGAAGTTGAGATATGTGAATTACATCACACGTTGTCCAAACCTCTTTTTGTTGGGATATCCAAGAAAAAATCAATGATATTCAATGGCTTCCCAGATCGTTTGGAAGCCGACGAAGCCGACTAAGCGCAGCTTGTGATCCGTGGATCGCCTTGGACGCGAGAACTGTCGACTGAACAAGCACCTCTGGTTGACCATGTGTAGATGGAAATGGGGCTTTGCCATTGTCAGATTTATATAATTTGTATATATTTGTATAGATTATAGATGTTTATAAATCATACAAATATATATATATATAAATCAGTTGAATTATATTTTCTAATGTGTTTAAGTTTATATGTTATTTTATCATAACTTATCTATATTCATGTAGCCCACACGCATATGTATATAAAGTACATGTATGTATCATATGTTTTGTGCTTTTAATATATATATATATATACATATGTATAAAGGTGCATGTAAAAAAAAAAACATGCACAGAGCTATGCAAGAATACATACGGACTGGGAGAAAACTTACTGACATATGTGGGAATATCTTGGTTGAACAATGGATCAGCTGGCTGCCTAAGGGCCTCCAGGTGAGGTTGAGGCGACAGGACACAGCACCGGTTCTTTGCTTTGTGCAAATTAATTTAACGACTAGATAGATATGATATATTTTTAAATAGATAGATGAATAGCCAGGCAGACAGACAGACAGATAGATTAGATAGATTTGATAGAACATATAGAATAGATAGAGTGAGTAGATAGAATAAATACATAAATAGATATGATATAACATGATATAGCCTTCGTATGTGAACAATTGAACCCATCATTTGCTGTCCACAAGCCCATTGTATATAAACAGATTTACCCATTTTGTTTGAGATTGTTTGAGTCTCAGAGGCACCATTCAGCTCGCTTCAGGCATACACAAGTGATGTGGACAAGAAACTGAGCTTCCTCAACTCCAGAAGGTGCCAGTGATGATGATGATGATGATGATGATAATGATGATGCTGCTGCTGCTGCTGTTGCTGCTGGGTGGTGGCTGCAGATAGTTGATGCTCTTTCAAGGGGCAAGTGCTTGATACTTTCACAGGAGTTGGAAGGGGAGCTTTCAATCCATGCCCATGCGCCTGACAACATGTCAGGACGACAGATGAACCGGACAGCATCCAGGGCTTGAGTCGCGATCTTGACGTTTGGAACCTCGGGGGCCTGTGGGGTTGACAAGGTGCTGGCATGGTGAGCATGAGGAAACCATGGCAAACCCGACAAGAAACCGCCCTCACTTGGGATTTTATGAACTTCGGTCTGCCCGTATGTGGGAAAAAGAAGGTAAAACCCAAACTAGTTAGTTGTTCAATGGGATAAGTTTCTTATAGTTTCTTTTTGAGTTTGCCACATTACGGGGTGTTTGTTGGCCATGATAGGTCACAATTTGTGCGCAGCAGCGAACAGAGCACATGCGCCACCAAGACTAGTGACTAGCTGTCACTGCACGTGAGGATTGGTTCAAGGTCTCCATTCTATGCTGCAAAGTACAAAGCCGTCAATGTTGGCAGAAGACCCGAGCTGGGTATGCTTCAAGATGATTTCCCCCATTGAATGGTAGTTTTATGTGAGCCACCGCAAAAACCCCGGCAATACTAAATATGTATTGGACGGACATTGGTTTATGGAAATTGATGGAAATTGTTAAAAACACACGGTAAGCGATGGGACTTTCCCAAATTAGCGATGCCCCTTTTCAAGGTTATGTCATTGTATTTCTCTAATATCCATATTAGCGATACCCAAATTGGACATTGATTTCTGTGAATTATTTTCAAAAAATGTAGCAGTTTCCTGCAAGCGTTACCCCCCAAGTTTACCATATATCATTATTGTACAAACGTGTGGTAAGCGATGGGACCTTCCCAAATTTGTGGATGTCCTTTCCGTGAACCTAGGGTTTTCGAGATTGCTCATGTGGTTACTGTAATACATGTTGAGTATCAAAAGAAAAACGCACATTATGATTTGTCTGAAAAAAGGTATCCGGCTATCCCAAAATCCGGTGGCTAATCACAACTGCCCCTGCTAACACAGCCATTTCGGGTATACCCAACTTTCAGACAGATGCATATCCACCATTGAATTCACTATTTTCAATCACCACTTTGTTAAATCCAAATAAATTCCCATGATAATCCAAGGTAATATGCACTATTCAGTGGTTCAATCACCATTTGTGTTGCTTACTTCCAAATAAAACCTAATGAAAATCCAAATTAGATGCACTATTCAGCGGTTCAATCAACATTTGGGGTCTTAAATCCAAATAAAATCATTTTTTTTGCGGTGAGCCGGAAGCCGAAGAGCTCCCGCCAAGGCGGTGAAATACGATGTGGGTGAGTTGAAGGACGGGGCTGACTGGCGGCTGGGTCACGTGAGGAGACGTGCGGGACGTGGAAAAGATGCGGCAAGCCCTATCATATTACTACCCCACATTATAGGGATTATTGCTAGTATTGATGGTTAATAATAGGGTTATTAGGGTTATTACTATTAGTAATATGGTGATATAATCCCTATAAACCCTAATTATTGATATTTATCCCATTGGCCATCCGGTTCATATTAAACACAGCCTCATTATATAAATGGTCCCGATTTTGTGGAAAGTCCTGACAACTAAGGCGAGGGTGTTTAATATAGGGGGAAAGGATTATATACTTGTGGACGTGGGTCATTTTACATCATCCGAAAGAGGGATCTATATAATGGGATTTAGCCAACGATAAACTTCAAAGTTGGATAATTTTGGATGGTTGATTGTTGGTTTTACCACTTTAGCATATGACAAACCATACCCCAGTTGTGTATGTGTGGGAGAGTTTCACCGAGCAATACAATGGTTATTTATTTATTTTCTCAACCATTTACAAACTGGGAAGCATGCACCCCCAAGTATCATTTGTATGATTGGTATATTGGGCCTCCCCCAAAGCAACTGTTAAATATTGATAAACCATGTTAAACCTGGTTTGTCAGGTTGGTATTATTTAGAAACGTGGCTGTTGCATAAGTTTGGGACGGTGAGTGTATGATCGTCCAGTGAGGCAAGCACCAGGGCCAGCATAGATTCCATTGCATTCCTGGGGATAAAACCTTTGACAACTATATTATAGGCCTATCTAATCTATCTATATAATCTATCTAATCTATCAAACCTATATTATTTTATGTTGTTTTATCTTATCCTAGCTTTTCTAGTCTATCCTATCCTCTCCTATCCTATCCCATCCTATCCCATCCCATCCCATCCTATCGCATCCTATTCCGTCCTATCACATTCTATCCTATCTATTCACATCTATGTCTATGTCGTATATATGCATGTACGTGTATATCTATGCACGCAACCATATAGTACACCAGGACTAAATAGGCACCTATTAACATATCCATGTTTTTGGGTTAGCATCATGTAAGCATTTCGACTGAGAAATCCGGTGCTCGTAGCTGTCGTTGGTCCAGGACCTCTTGAACGGCGCAAAGGGCGACACGGCCCAGGTGAAACGCATCGTCCTGGCCTGCGAACGGGACATGGAGGAGCGCTGGGGGTTAAGTCGGGGATCCCCAAGTCATCATGGGAGTTCAATATTGTTCAATACATCAGGGATTTCACAATACTAAAATGATCTAAAATAGTCGTTCATGATTTGGATGATTTAGGGCTACCTGTATTTTAGGACACATCCATTTAGATTTCCCCACCTTGTATTTGGGTTATTTTTCATCCAGAGGCGTTGTATCCTGGGGACTCTAAGCGCATGCACTGTCATGTGCCTTTGCTTCGTTGGGTCTGATTTGGGGTGTTAGGAAACCATAACTTGCAACCAAGGGACTGGCAAAGTCACCAGTACATGGACAGCACTTCAGAGCCCATGTACCCAAAGCGGATGCGTCAGGAACTTTGAGTCAATAAACTGTTTTGTGAGCTGTTGGTATTGCCAAGTTACCTTGATGTTTCAAGGGTTGTCCTTTGATGAATGCCTTCATTTGCAGATATTATTTCTGTGAAACATGATTGTGTAGCAATTGTATCATTCATTAAATTCATTATCATTCATTTTTCATCCGCAGTTTTGACCAGGTGGCAAGTACTCACCATTTGGTCATCCTACCCACCGATCCTTATAACGTGTAGCAGGTTATTACGTTACTTCGTACCGTGAGCTGTGAACTAGCAAATGATTGCAAATGGATGTATATGTGGGTCCTTACCGGTAGGTGCCCTCACTTAGTTATATAGGGAATTTGTAACTTACACAATGAAAACAACAGGCACATCACAATTTTGCTGCTAGTTTTGCGGGTTCTATACTCTAATTGCGGCTGGGTGTTCGCCATTCCCCCAACAATCAAGTCAACCAACAGTCTTCGGTATCACATGCATACAATTTCCAATTATATAGACTGATTACCACCATTACAACCTTATGTGGTGTGCAACCAGATTTCCTGCAAACCCAACTCTTTTTGGACGAGGGGGGATATTCAGAAATTGAAAGGAAAATCCGCGATTGAACACCCTAAATAGGTGTAAAACATTGTAAAACCAATCAAAAACCATGGTATAGATTTTGCTTGAAACACAGCCACTGAACATATTAGTGATCTCCCATTAAATTGGGTATATATTCCAAACCCACTGGTTTATCATCACATTCACCAGTAAATTGTGTTTTTGATGGGAACGCACATTTTTTCACACAAACCCAAGTGCCATGTCGGCTTGACATCCCCCACCATATCCCACTATTTAACACGCTTTAAGTATCCCTATCTGATTTGCATATTGATCCGGTGTTTTGGATGCAGCTAGGAGGCCATGGGTATTCATATTCAATCCGTGATTTCTCCGGTAAATTGGGAGCCAAGGAGCTACTAAACTGGTTGGGTGGTAAGCATATTTTTTCACTGAGGTGGCTCAGCCACCAAGCAGTTGACAGGCTCCCAACCACATGATACCAATGTATCCCAGGCCATTGGTATCCACATTCCCTAGCATATGGGAGATATGGGGATATCAAGAGGTATCATGAGCCAAGGAGCTACGAGTTACGTTTAGTTCCATTTTATCCCCAGTTGTACGTATGTATGTATATATATATATATTATGTATATTTATGTATATATACATATACACCACTTATAACTGGTAAGTAGGTCAGTCCATATCTATTTTTCGCAACATTTTCAACAGGACAATAGAGCTCAAACATCCCATACTTTCAGTTCCTTCCCATGGGAAGTTCCCATTGGCTGGTAAAATCCAATGCAAAACTCTGCCAGGACTTTACCGCTGCGATGGACGCCGTCAACGTGGACCTGGATGAAATGCGCGCGCGTGTCTCTTGTCCTCGTTTTCCAATGGGCCTTTCGGTGGTTCCGGTGGTTCTGGGTGGTTCCAAATTGGGCAACTGAAATGAAGCTAAAAACAGGGGAAAACAATGGGGGAAGAGGTGGGTTTGTCTGAACAATTTAAGGGCAAACCATTTTTTAATATTTTTTTAGCGTTTCATCGTCATTTTCCCCACTAACATCCGCATTGGGGTTTACTTCCATTTTCAGATACAGCCATGTCGTTCCGATTTACGTGTTTAACATTTAGAATCTAGAATGAATATATTAGCCTGCAGGGAGGAATACAGGGGAAATCATTTCATATTTTTGACACTAGACTAGACAATTTAAGATTGTGATGTTAGGTGATGATGGGGATGATCGGGCTGCTGTGTCTACTGCAGGATGCCAAGATACCTTGGGGCCTTGCCCAAAGGAGATGAGCGGTGGTATTGCGGTATTGAGATTTCTTTAGGCCTGCAGAACCTAGGACCAGATGCTATCTTTTGGATTCTTTTGGAACATAGGCATCGCTTTTTCTTTAAACAAACGCCCTCAACTGAGGCACGCTGCTTAAATTGTAAGATATTATGAGATTCATATATATATATATATATATACATATGTGTGTGTGCGTGTCAGCACAATTCAACACACACACATGTATATATGCATACATATATACATGTGTGCATTAGCATTTTCGAATGAATATATATATATATGTATCATACATACATGCAAAAAAAAAAATAGTTATGCCAATACCTTCCCATGTCAAATGGACATGCATGTGTGCATCCAAATTCGAATGGAGGGATGTGCATGTTTCTTCAACTGCTTGCACTTCATCATCCAACTGTGACGTTGTTTTACTTCTCGAATATCCAGTTGCTATGTTGAATATGACTGTTTGTCCAGCTGTGACGATATGTCGAATATCCAGTTGCTCAGCCTTTTCTCATGTGTTCCCACAATGTGGTGCCCCCTAGTTGCAGATTGGTTTATAAACCAATATCATATATATGTATATGCTTATGATACTTATGTCGTGACCACAGCATACACCCTAGTTACCTACTTTCGAAACATAATTAACTAACTACGGGGCACTAGTTCCCACGTGGTCAGCATTCTATGGGCCTCAAGGGGTTCCACGTTCAGCGCGTGACATGACCAGCAGCCGAGGTTGACTCAACTCACTCCATCATCACATCGCGACAGCGGGTGGAGGCGTGATCGCCGGGGATGTTGACCCTAACTATCCAATAATTAGGAGGGAGCTAAGGAGCGAGGGTTATCCATAGTCCTCGTTACTGTGAATGAGAAACCACAGAGTTATGAAGAGCTCCCCAACCACATGATAGCTAATCAAGGGGATATTGATGTAACCCAAAGTAAACGTGAATTTGTGCTTCGGAAAGAGCTGATGTAACCCTGAAACCTTGGGAAGTACCCAGTGATCGATCGAGGCCACCGTGACGGCAGAAATCTCTACGATGCGTTTGGACATGGGAGACATGCAGGAGGCGGATATTGGGTTCGGTAAGGATCTCGATTTGGGCATCCCCCAATTAATCCCATCAAACATGAGAGAGTTAAGCAGCAGAAACAAGAGTGTAACACAGTGTAACACTCTGTAACATCATTAAGTGGGACATATACCCCATATGATATGAAATACCGCCCATTGTGAATAAATCCAATACAAAACTCGTCGCTTTTAGGTTATCGATTTTTTTGGGGGAGGGATTAACGGAATTAATCACTCAATGAATGGTTTGTGGTGGTTTTAAACAGGTGTTATTTTAAACCCTAGAAATTGGAGTATGATCCCAACTGCCGGGCATATTTTTTCATGGGGGTTGAAACATGTTGGTTTTCATGTTGAAACATGGACCCTTAGAATAGTAGATTTTTAGATGAAAGTGGTTTGCCAAGCCCTGAATTGGATCTAATTGAAAGGGTCACCCTATTGCTTTGGGATGGTAAATTTGAACAACCTCACCGCGATAAACAACTATAAATGATGCTAAAGTCACCATTTGGCTTGCAAACGTTGCTGCAACCTGCTTGTGGGATCTTGTGGGGATATACCAATATACTGCATGGAAGCCAGACTGGGTTTCCAGCTGGTGACCTGGGATCTGCCCGATTTGCTCTCCGAAATTTATATGAGTCATTCTGCTGTCACATGACCTTGCAATTGCTTCACTTTTGTACTGTTGCGTTCTGTTTCGAACTATGTCCATTCTCTCTGGAAGGTGGCCCAGAATTCACTGCAATTCACATCAATGCACCAATTTCTGAGGGATGAATTGAAAAAGAGTGTATTTCCTAATCATGAAGTGCATATATCCTTTTTATGAATGAATACTCCAATTGAAACATGTTACATGTTAACGCCTCCGAGCCAGGCCCTGAAAGCTCACGATGCGTGGATGGAGGATGTGTCGCAGAGCTTGCAAGAGGTATATCCGGCTGGTTTGGGTTTGTTGTAATTCTTGCCATCCGCCATAAAATTGAAGAAGGTTTATTAAAAAGGGCTTTATAAAATCGTTATATATATATATATATGTATGTATATATATATATTTACTGTATACACCCAGTATTGAAATATATATAAATTTTATCTCAGATTAGAACCTGGCACGTTCCACGGACGTCAATCCACGGGCCCTAACCAGGAACTACCGGCCCCCCATATTTGAAGGGACGTTTTCCGGTTGGGAGGTTCAAAGTTGGAACACTTTTTGTAATTGCTGTTTAAACAATTTCTGCTGACTTCCACTGGTGACAATGTTTCCAAACCACTTTGCAATTGTCACTAGGTGCACGAGCGCTGCGAGTACCTCAACATGGAGATTTCTGGGGTGAATCAGAACTTCCAGGCGCTCAGTTTTGCTGATTTGGCATTATCATATGTTTGTCACATCAATATCGTGTTACTATCATGATTATATATGATTATTGTATTTTTTATATTATCATTTCATAACCACAGGACTATCATACCATTTGTTATAAGCCGTAGCCCTTAGGGATATCGACACCACCTGACAACGGCTGGCTGATCAAAGATTTAAGGAAGCCATGGAAGATCAACTAGATACTAGATACCCTCCAGTAAACGAAGAGTTTGCTATGGAAAATCACCATCAAAATCATAGGTAAATCATCGAACTATTCCTGGGCCATGGCTAAAAAAATGTGAACGGACTCTCTCTCTCTCTCAATTAGCAGGTAGCTATGGACAGAAAAAGGTCATTAAGATTTTAAGATAAAAGCTAAAGACTAGACCACGTTTCATCGCTATGTTCCATTACTAGAGGGTAGTTGAGAAAGCTTGTAGAATGACCAAACATTGCCTAAGCTTGGTTATATTATGCTATATTATTACTGTATATTACTGTACTATATTGATTACCACTGGGGATTTTAATTGGACAGGTCAATAAATGGAGGTTATTCTAGCTGGGAAGATCATGGGAATAAACAGGGTGATTTTCCAGCACCCAGCATTCTATCCTCGCCAGGCCAAACTTGATGCGAAAACAGACATTGCCAGTTGGAACGACATGAGCCTCGCCAACCGAATGTAGTATGAGTATTATATGAGTCATGCCCTTGAAATTACCATGAAATACATGGTACATGTATGTAAATGTGATGATAAAACATTGGATTTTGGAAGTGCCCTATTGGCAAATCAGTATGCAGTCTGGTTCAACCTGCCAGAAAAGCAACTGAGGGATGCTCAAAGCCAGTAACGTACCAGTACCGTAAGTGAAAGTCCAAGTGGAAGTAAGAGTTTCTGGGTACCTGGGTACGCTTAAATCTTGTTGATGCTATTATTATATCTACTAGTATTACATAGTAATACTATGTATTACTAACATCCTTCACTCAATGTATATGGAAGAATGTATAACGATGTTCCAAAGCAAGATGCGAGATACGTATATATGTATATTAAATACATATTGATATTGATTCACATTTCCTACTGCTTTGTTCGAACATATCCACATAGACAAATTGCCTAGTTTCGAAAAAGTGCGCATGCGAAAAAAAATTGAAAGCTTTGTTTTACCGTACTTGTGCGGTCCCCTGCCCCCACGGAATGACACGCTAACTGTTCGTATACGTTATTTGTATATAACTTAACAATCACACCCTGAACAAATCGGAACGTAGGCGATCATCTGGTGTTTTCTTGTTCCCAGGAATGATGACATTGATGCCTCCATTCGAACGGTGCCTTTCTCAGCGGGAGGTGCTTGGCAGGCCCTTGGCAGGCCCTTGGCATTGAATATCCTTCCAGAGTTTACACCCATCCACCCAGAGGTTATCCTCCTCCTTATCGTTTTCGTCGACATCAGCAGCATCAGCATCAGCATCAGCATCATCACCAACGACGACGACGACGACAACGACAACAACAACAACAACAACAACAACAAAACAAAAACAAAAACAAAAACAAAAACAAAATAATATTAAGAATAATCATCATCATCATCATCATCATCATTAGCATCATCATCATCATCATCATCATCATCATCATCATCATCATCATCATCATCGTCATCGTCATCGTCATCGTCATCATCATCATCATCATCATCATCATCATCACCATCGTCATCGTCATCATCATCATCATCATCAAACCAAACCAATATCCAACATATTTATACTTTATAATTGTACGGACCGAATTCAGGACTTCAGCATTCGTAACAAGACATTCTGGATTCGGTCTGAAGAGACCCCGTACATTGCTGGCATTTTGATGGGCATGCAACACACCACAGGTCAGGGACATGGCATCATCTCTGCGCTTGGAGGCCATTTAACGCGGGGTTTGTCTGAAAATGGGCTACCAAGTGCTTCCAATTCCTCATGATTTTCACCATTTGTTCAAGAGACATCAAAAGACTTCATTGCATTTTTTGTGAGGTGCGCAGCGGTGCGCATGATTTTGGGAAACCTCACATGGCTGAATCGTTTGTTTCCCCAGGCTGCCCAGCGGGGACTTGTCTCACCTGTTCGTGTTGTCCCCGTGACCATGCTGTCAGGTGGATAGCCGCCGGCGCCGTGTGGATGAGGTGCGGTTATCTTTGGTCAGTGATTTGGGTATCGGGTATAGGTCAATGACCAAACCATCGACGGGTAATTATATATTTATATTTATATGTTCCTTTAATTTTGGGTATCTAAAAAATGCTGGTTTTGGGGTTTGAGGGGGCTCTCTGCTAGCCTATGTTGGGAAACCACCCTACAGCTGCGCCTGGGGGAGAAAAGAAAAAATGTGTGCCTTACAGGCACTGGAAATCATCGATATTCAACGGGGAAGTGATCTTCGCACATATGATTTTCCACGGTGCTGCATCAAGTAAGATACCGGTACCTTATGTCCGATACAAATGGAAAATTTCCCTGTGGCCTGTTCATGTACTAGTCGGACCCAAGATTCCATGCTATAATGCATGGGAAAAATGAAAGCTGCCCTTTTGGGTTGAAGCACGTTGGGAGCAACTGTCACCCTCACTTACACATGATAATAACATACAATGAACAATAATGATTCGACTAAGACCAACAACAGTACCGAAACAATCCATCATCATATATGTTCCCTATTTTGATAGGTTGCCTATATATTAAATACAGTCATATATAATCGATATTACGCTAGTAAGCCGCTAGTACCAATCAATAGTCAACAATACAATGTATAATAATCGCTAATCAGACTCATCATATATATATAATATATGCAATATATATATATTATATAATATATATATACATTGGATTTCCTTGGTTACGCCATGTTATGCATTTTTTTGTTTCTGCAGGATTTACTTCGTATGCGCTCCGAAGTCTCCAGTTTGGACGAGAAGGTCAGATTTGAATAGCTGGATGATTTCATGGAGAGTCCCTATGAAATTCCGCGATATTGCGCGATTTGGGGGTACCACTAAAGGAAATTCCCATATTTAATGTACATATTGTGTGTTTTTTAATTGTAAATCAGTAAATCATGAAACTTAGTATGGATCATAGCTGCCGGGAGTTGCCAAGTGGTCTGAGCCTTATCTGTTGAACATTTCCCAACATTGTCCTTATGGAGCCAACATGGAACTCAAAGCTGAATAATCCTCGGCAACTTCTCTATACTTGCCAAGAATCACCATTGAAAGAAACAAATGATCGGATCATATCGGATCTACTTTGAAACTTGCACCGCATATTGACATTGTTTGCGCTTCAGCAGACAATCTGCTTTAGTTTGCTCTGACTACAGTCTAGACCCTAAAAAAAACCCGTGGCCCAGATCAACAGCAAAACCGTGGACATTTTGCGTGACTTGGATTGAGAAAAACTTGCTGATGGGCTGTCGCTTGGTTTTTGCCATGCAGTACCATGTTCTGCAGGATCAACACATCCAACTCCTTTGGAACTTCTTCAGACTTCGGAACTCCTTCGGTGTTATTTTGCTTTTTGGTGTTGGTTTCGCATACTTTTAAAGCCCTGTTGTTGGGATGACTCAGCCTGCGAATGTTATGGTTTGAAATCTTGAACTTGTGGGAAGATGATTGCTCTATGCTTGGTGCTTGCATTTTGCTTTCTCATGAGTCTCCATAGCCTTGGGCTGACTTGGCAGACTGTTAAAACATTTGAAACAACGACTCCTGGCAGGTGAAAGCAGTGAAAACAATAACGCCTTGAGCAGACGATTGGACGAACGCCAAGAGCATTGCAATTCTTTGGAGGCGACGAACTGGAAATGGATCGACTTGAAGTGTACATGCTTGATGTTGAGGATGGAACGCCCGAAAAGGGATGATGTTTCTACCTCATGTTTCCACATGTTTCTACATGTTTCTGTGTCTGGCCATAGCAAGATATGAGCATAAATTGAGGTTTCCTAAAGTGGGGGTACCCCCCAAATCATCCATTTTAAAGGGGTTTTCCGTTGTAAACCATCCATTTGGGGGTCCCAATTTAGGACACCAAAATTTATTGGACATGTTTCTATTGTTGCTACGAAACTATAAGTTTTGGATTTGATGCTTCTATCCTTTGGCTAGCGGAATGCTTGGACTGGCTGCATTGTGGTTGGTGCACCATTTCAGGTAGATATGAGCAGTGCAAAAGAAAAACAGCGCTGGTTGATCGCTTTCTTGGCTTTTGTAAAGTATACTTGATGCATTTTGATGCTAATGCAACTAATGCAGTAAACTGTAAACCTAGCAATAAACCACCCCACTTTTACCAGAAATAGGTCGTACACATTATACCAACTATTCTTACAGTAAATATCCTTAAATGGTAGTTGTTTATGGCGTAGGGTTTACCAACTTGGTTATATATCCCATTATATATATATATATGTATATATATATAATTATATTGAATCATATCCTATTATTTCTGGTCAAATCCCATCAATGAAATGTGGTAACCTGGAAAACCCAGTGCCATAAACCATTCCCAAAATCTCAATTTTCAAGAGTGCTACAAGGCATCCGCGAATGGTATAGATTTATATATTTATAGGTTTATGGCATTGGGTTTCCCACATTATTATTGAACAAGAATGTTGAAGCAGAGAACGCACATCTACGGTGTCCGTCAGGCCATGATTGTACAACATCGACAGACCAGCCAAGAGATGCAGGGCAAGGTCGGCGCCCCGCGGGCCGCGTGGAAGCTGGACTTGTTATGGTCTTATATGTTCTGCGTAGCTGGTGTTTTGAATATTTAGACGTGTGAATTCGCTTACTTTAGAAAATGGATAGATAAATGTATTTATACTATACTTGTTTGTACATACATATTAATATGTGAATACATTTGCTTATAATACACATGTGTACGTCGAACCGTGATACACAATTATATGATATTATATGCACATATGTTTGCACACAATCACATGCAAATGCTATATACACATCCTCCTTCAAATTTCAGCTACGAAATGGGGAGGACTTGGGCTACAGTACAGATTGCCAGCCAGCATTTTTTTGTACAAACAGGAGGGGTTGTGCCCCCCATTTTGTATTTGGAATCATTTTGTAGTTGATTCCTTTCCAATCATGCATTTTCATTTTGTAGTTGTATATGTTGAGTTAGTTGAAGCATCCAACATAAAATTTCATTAGCATTTTGTAGTTGTACAAGTTGAATGTTGAAGCATCCAACATAAAATCTCATTGACAACTACAAAATGTTCTCCGAATTTATGTTGGTCGGAACTTTGGATGGCAAAGACCCAACTACAAAATGTCATTGGGAAAAATCATGTTAGAAATTCCGACGTTCAGCTATTTTTTTGACTTCAGATGCATTGGATTTTGTAGTACTGGTTTTGAATTATTTTCCGAGCCAGAAAGAGTTATGTTCTTCATTTTGTAGCTGAAAAAAAAGTACATGCACTTGCATTTTGTAGTTGTGCACCCTGTGCATTCCGCTCTGTATCTACCAAAACCATCTGCACAACTCCTCCCCCCTTATCTGAACCCTGATATATACACGTGTATAGTCTAGCACATCTATATACAGTATTATATACATGTGCGTGTGTGTGTGTGTGTTAACAAATCGCATACAGCAAATCTGTGCATTCCTTGTGCTCCAAAACCATCCTTTGAAAGTGGGGCAGTCAATAATAGCGGAAATTTGTCAGGTAGCCTTTGCCTTACAAATCAACAAAAATAAACGTCATAGATGGTTTTAGAGGAAATGATCCCCAATATAGGGCACTTGACTCACTTGACTTTATGATGTGAACATCACCATTTCTTTTGCAAGTCGACACCACCGTGCCACCTGGCCAGATAGATGTCCAGAAAGAAGAGATGGAGTCGCGCATCAGTTCAGTGCATTCGGCCATGGCGAAGCAGGACATCTTTACGCCCTGTCGCCCGTAGCGAGAGAATGGGAATATATTGGAAATCACCTCTTTTCATGGGACATTTTGTGCGTACTTCTATGATCTTATATGATGGAACGAATGTAGAAGATGGATTACATAGAAGGCCAGAAAGCACATGTCTATGAATGGGCGGTTTGCTTTGACCAGGTTAGATGACGACCAGATTATAATTTAGTGAGGCCATTCTTAGTGGGATTAGATGTCTACGAATGGGCTCTATCGATCAGTGGCGCCAGGGAGAGGACTTGCAGAGATCAACCTCGGAGCGAATGGAATCCCTGGAGCAGCAGCAGAACAAGGGTAGCAAGGTGGGGGAGTCTTTTTTTCCGGCCAGAAATGGAGGTCTCTGACGTTAGTGAACACGGATGCTGATGGGTAGTTATGGATGCCTATGGATGCGAATGGATGAATCGTAGGGTTGCTTCAGGCTGAAAGGAGAGAGAGAGAGGTATATGATTGCAATGGATTGCATATGATACCATATGATTCTCTGATTATGGATGATTGTCCCTGTCCACTATTCCTAAACGTCCAAGAGGAAGAAGGAGGATAAGGATGGAGGTTTTGGTTGATGGACCTCATCCAGGACAGCCAGAAGCACCTGAATGCCATGGACTTACGCCTTGCAGCGTTGCAAGGAGCCACCGGCGAGTGGGGGAACCCAGCTGCCATTTGGCTTTGCCGCAAATTGCCTGTTTGTTTTTGCTCAAACCTGGAAAGGCTAAAGGGAGGGGAAGTGATCAACAAAAAGGTACAGTATAGATTCTATAGATTGGTTAAATTGAAGGTTGCAAAAGGAGATCAAACAAAGCACCAATATTAGTGTATCAATGAGCTGAAAGTGCAGTATATCACCAGAAGCCGTGAGGATACTATCCACTCACAAATGCATGTATTGTGTCGCAGATCCAAACGGCAAAAAATGTGTGTGTGTGTGGTGCAGAATGTTATATAAGTAGACAGCAATGGGAACATTGACTGCAGTCACCCTCCAAAAGAAAGCTCTGTTTGTTTCTAACTCTTCTTTCATCACCCGGAGGGTGTATACTGTAACCACCAATGAAAAGTCTCCAAGCAACAGCAACAACGACATCAGAAACCATCTTGCTGGGCTGTCGACCTCTGGCCCCAGCATATCCCGGAATCCCTATACTGCAACCTGTATTTCCACACGGCATTTTACCGAATCCCAGATACAGGAGAAATCCCCATGTTCATTTGTGTGCATGGTAGAAACATGATGAAACATGTACAAACCAGTCGTTGTGTGTACAGTAAAATTATTTCCCTTCAACCAACCATGACCAGCCCATTGACTCTGCGTTCGCCCTTTCCCTTCGCCAGGTGCAAGCGTGACATTGGGAAGATGCGAGACGAGGTGAACAGCCTCACTGTCCGGTGGCTCAGTATGGTGCTTTCTGCTGGATAGGGCTGCCATACTCTCAGAATATCCAGCGTTTTCGGGATTAGATGGGTTTATCATGGTTTTATAAATGGTTTACCATTTGTCCCAATGGAAATTGAGCATTAGCAGTGGATCAGTAAACCACCAAGGTCAGTAGAGAGTATACTCAAAAGAGCCCTGAAAACGTTGAGCAAATAAACGATTCTAGTGACTCTGCGGAACAGGAATAACCAACACCCCCGCAACAGCAGCGAGAGCAGCTAAACCAGCAGCACAAGAGTGATACCGTGATACCGCTATATGCAAAAGGTCGGTGGGTTCTGTACAGTGGGAACGCGTGGCTAAGGCTATAGACATTTTCTGGAAATGAATGGAAATGCTGTACTACAAATGATGCCATAGACATCCAGATGCTACCGTCGCTACCATCACCCATCCATCAGTCATTAGTCCAGACTTGGCTGAGATTTTCACGGATACCCCTTCTCATTGCCCCTTCCCATACTGGGATATCCGGGATCATCTGTGGAGTTTTTCGGCGGTTCGTCATTTCTTGATCGCCCAGTGTCAAGCCAAACGTATCCGAACGTAACATATCCAAGAGATAGTTGGATAAGAAATGGATTTTAAGCGGACATGTTGAAGGTATACAGCCATAAATGGATGATCTAAACATGTTTTTCTGACTCAAAGGAGGCTCTCATCAGTCTTCGCACATCTACACATCACTAAAACGCAGCTCAGTTGGAAAATGGCAGTGCTTCGACGTGTGTCACAGCACTTTTCTTCACCATTCAGATGGACATGTTGCCGTACCCAGTGCTGCATATATTCCCGGCTTCCCCGGGCCGTCATCCAAGAGGTGAAGAGTGCGGCTCACGATGTGGACGTGGCCAAAAACAGCGATGACATTCGGAAGCTGGAACGTCCGGAAACCAAAAGTCGAAGAATCCCACCCCTGGGTTTGCGGTTTGTTTCACGTTATTCTTTATTTCCCAGGAAATTCATCATTTGGGGAATTGAGAGGATTTATTTTGGAGCCCCTTAAGCAAATCCAGGACCAGACACCCGCTGAATGGTCCCAATATGTGTTTCTACTAAGCCATGGTTTTTGTGTTTTTGTGGACTGTTTAATACAAGCGGGATGGGAATATTCATAAATCTTTTGGGTTCGCGGTGGTCGCTTCGCCTTCGCAGCTGCAAAAAATGCTTTTGGATGCTTTTGGAAAATGTGAGTGCTTTGGTGGCTAATTACAGGGAAGCCACAGATTTGACTCCAAGAGAATTCCTATAGATTTGTGGGTGAACATGGGCCCAGTGCAGGCCCCTGTACCCTCCCCAAGAGAAACCTCGGTGAAATGTGCTGGATTTGTCCATGTTGGGATCCCAGTTTCCGAGGTTGATTGATTACCAGGTTCTGTGCTACATGTGCATCCCAGCATTTAACGGCTGAATAATTTTTGCATAAAAGGTCTAACACAACAACAGATCCCAATCTATCCCAGTGAGTGGATCGCGATTTGCTACGAGCTCATGGATCGTAACCCTCACTGGATAGTACATCGAGCAAATCATCAACCAGCCATTGATTATCTTAAATTACGCTCCATGTTTTCATGATAATTAAAGAATATTAAAGATCATCAAGCCCCCCTTTTTGACATGAATGATGGTTGAAAAATCCTGGTAACCATCAGCATCAACTGCCAGGGGTTTGAACATTGCTTACATAAGTGTCGTCCAGTTGCGTTCCTCCACCTCGAGGTCAACGTGTGGAAGATGATCAGCGCCATAAACAGGCGAGTCGTAAAGCATCCGGACGGGGCGGTTGTATGGTTGGGTTGGAAAATATGATCGCTGATATATGTTTTTTCAAAAAAAAATATAATGCAAATACTTGTGAATGTGTATCTTAATATTCATGTTTTTTTATATATGTTTCATTTGTTCCATTTGTGTTGTTCTATTTGGGATGAGGATTGCAATCAGTGACGTTTGAGGGATGATATATGAATAGGTATGAATAGTGATCCACATAATAGATGAAATAGAATTATAATGGATAATGTGGCATAATGTGGTAACATGTGGCAAACCATGGTAAACCCGATATGGGTCATTTCACACCATTCCGCGGTGGGTGAGTGTACCCAAGAATGAACCCCAATGGAGGTGGTCTGTTACTTGGTTTATTATATACATATATATATATATGTGTGTGTGTGTGGGGTGATGATCTGAATTGTTTTTTATATTCATTTTTGGTTGCAAACCAGCTTTGTTTTGCGCTGCAGAAGTGGCAGCTGGTCCATATTGTTGCCGTCCATTTCCTTTCAAGTCGACAAATCCAGAGAGAATGTTTTTGGGCATGTGAGCAACTGACATGGACTGGAAATGATAAACCATGATAAACCTACAGTATCAAACGGACTTCGCGCCAAGTTTCTATAGGGGTTAACCCTTGGCCATGCCAAGGGTTACAAGTTACAACAGGGGCTTCTGTGTGACATTTTTGCTGTCCCGACAGCTTCCCAGAAACCGTCCTTGTCGGCCAGGAGTTTGACGGCATCTACGATGAATTGGATCAGATGCTTGGTTCCTTCACTGGTTGGTGGTTTGGAACATGTTTTATTTTCCCCAATAGTTGGGATGATGATCCAATCTGACTAATATTTTTCAGAGGAGTTGAAACCACCAATTAGTTCATGTTCCAATGGAAATCACTAGGGGACCCTCTCCTCACTGGATCTCACTGGGTATGATGACATAAGCTGGGTGGTGCACTCAACCAGCGGGCAACCCCTTCGACATTGCATACTTCACTGGGGATATGTAGGGTAGCCTTAAGGGCCCATCACGTAAATTTACAGTATATGTAGAACTGCCAAACCCATCAGACATGTAGATGCAGGATTTTTTTTTTAACAAGTAGGGTTTCCCTTACTTGTTTATCTTAGTTTGGCGGATGGTATATATGCACGTTCAAATCATCGTATGCCGTTACCCGCTATTCGAAATCGTCCATTTGATTGTGATGAATCCACCTAATCAACCTGCAATAATTTAGCGTGTGTTTAATTATGTTTAATTCATGGGAATTTCAGGATCCTGAAACAGAGGTACTGTATCATATTCTGTCACATAAGGCCTTATTTTGTGGGGATATTGCCTTGCAGAGGCCTTACATAGACCTTACATAGATCAGTACCTCTGATTTAGTTGCCTGAAATGCTCCTTGATTTGATTGTGTTTTATTCGCTCATCATGATGACGATGATGACGACGAGGACGACGGCGGCGACTGCGACGACGACAATGATATGGTTGTGGTTGTTGTTGTTGATGATGTTGTTGTCGTCGTCGTCGTTGTTGTTGATGATGATGAAGATGAGGATGAGCTGCTTATGAGTGACTATGACAATGATGACGATGATGATGATGATGATGACGACGACGACGATGATGAAGACGTAAGGGGGTATGCCAACCCACCCTTTCACCTATACTATTGAGTCAAGGTACGTATGAACAATGTTTATTCACCTGCTATGGGTCCAACTAGTTTCACCTGTTCCTAATCCACAAATAGCGACGGATGAATGAACAGAACATGGATAACGGCTATATTTTGTGAATGTGCTAATGTTATCATTTTGTCTTAACCAATGATTGCATGCATATTCATAAAGAACGGTTGGGTAATCACCTCGCAGCTGCAACGGCTCAGCTCGGCCAACTTGCCGCTTTAAAAGCCATGGCAAAAATGGAAGAATTACCTGTGGTGACCAAACCTTCAAATTCCAATGTTTCCTGGCGGATCGGTGATTTCACCTGTCCACTTTCGGTATGTTTCATAATTCAAATGGGTCAATTAGAGTCCTCTATTCATTATGTTGTGTTGGGTTTAACCATTTGCTGAAAGTTGGTCACATCAGTGTGTTTCAGGGCCGCTTTTGCATGGGAAGCCACGCAGTGTGATAACCAGGGCGTGATTTCTTTATTTGAGTCTTGAATTCTTGCGAGCACCTGCTCCGATTTTTGGGCAGCATAGCGACATTTGCCTTTTGGTGTTTTGTGAGACAAGCAGGTCCCGCAAGTAAACGGATCCATTTGATAGAGGGATCCAGATTGTGTTTTCCAAAGCTATTGAACAGGAGCGAAAAGCGTTTTGCTGGTTTTTCATCCTCATATTATTTACAAGGAAACTTATATATTCTACTTATTATACTTACTGCAGTAGCTCACATACTAACCGGACTAAACAAACTTATCCCATTGATTATATTTAGTAGCTGAGTTACAGTGTAACTTACCCACTTCTAAGTAGGATACCTTGGATTAGTCACTCCACTTACTACTCAGGTTGTAACCCACTTACTAATTGGGGTTAACCACCAGTAATCAAGCGTGGCAATGGAACATCTCCCATTTATAGATACGTATATATATATATATACTGTCTCTCTCTCTATATATATATACACATCAAAGATGTTCCCAGCTATAAACCTCCATTTTATAGGGGAGCTCCCAGTTTGCCATTTTTGGTTTCCAATAATATTCCATGTAACTTCCCTTTGCATATATCTATATAATCATGTATAATTTATATTCCCATTAAACCTCATGAAATCCAACAGGATGGGGTGGATGGGATGGTGAGGTTGCAAAGTTACCACATCGAATGCTGACTGCCACTGGGCGCATGCATTGGGGAGAATCAACTGGGGGCCATGATTTTCGATAACGAGTCAGACTTGGGGTATTTACTTCAACAGTTCGAGCTATTATCATGATTTGGTAAGTGTTTTTAATAGATGCATGCATGTTTCTATACACAAACCAATGGAGGGACCAGCAGAGAGATTCACATGGCGAGCAACATAAACATTTAATTATATATATGTATATTATATAAGTGTTTTTGGTAAATATTTGCAAATATAATACAAGGTTATATATGATTTACATCAATTAAAAAAAACATGAGGTGTGCCTCTTTAATCAACCTTCCATGTGTTTTTGTATCAGAAAACTTACGGCCAATTTTCTGGCCAAACGCGTATTCAAAAGATGTTTGGACATGTTGGACCACATTTCCTACATGCCCTTCGCTGGATCATTGTGATGAGGTGGTGCAACAAATTATTAGCTAGCCATGAACTATATATATATATATGTAATGTACTTATAGGTGACGATTGTATCCAAAACACTTGAACCAAAAGAAGGCCCAATGATAAATCATTGCGTTGTCCCCTCGTGATTGCCGGTTATATAATTTGGATCATCACGTTGGGTAAACTCAATGACCTTTCCACTCGGAAATGGCGGAAGGGCGAAGAATGACATGTCTCCCTTATTCAACCAGTTCCCTCTCGTGGACCAGACTCGGGGTCATGCTCCGATGTCAGTAACGACGCTTTGGTGAAGAATAGGGGGCAGTTTCACCATTACTGTAGTTGCACCATTCCCCGCAATGACAACTGACATCAACTGACAACTTGACCAATGTATCATCAGTTCGCCGCGATTTGGTAGCAAATTCATATACAATCATTGGATGTTAGTCTTCTATGATCTTCACCAGCGGCCCAGCATGGCCCAGCCCTTGGAGCACAGGAGGTCAGTTTGAGTTTCGAAGAGATCGATCATTTGCAAACGACCTTGGCTGTGATCCAAAGTCGTGCCTGTGAAAGGAAAGTCCGCTGGGCTGTGGGACCCCAAGATAGGGGAAACAAAACCACGGCAGGCGTGGCACATGGATTCCCCAGTGAAAGCCGTGAACAAATCGTTCCACGCTGAATTCAAGGGTGTATTTGTTGGCTTGTCCATGCACCAGCAGTCGGTAGTGAAGGTACTGGGAAGATGTTTGATGATCCTCCTTGATTTTGACGGTGGTAAAAAAGTTACAGGAAACCAATGGAAACCATCATATTTCGGGATTTTCAGGGTAAAACCCGTACTGTAGTGGTTTCGTGTAGATTTGCCCTGAAATCAATCTATTGAGATGCTGATGAGGACTGCCAAATAGAGTACTGCAGTGACTTTACTGCCACTTGCAGTTGATCTTCGATGTGGGGATGGGTCAAAACCGATTAATTATTAACTTATACAATACATAATTATTATAGCATAGTTGGATATATTGTGTGGTGATGAACATGCCTGCGAAAGATTGATGGGCACAGAACGGTCATGGGTTTTGGATGGTGGCCCATGCCCAACCTGGCTTTGGCCCACGCCAACGTCGTGACGGACCGTCATGGGTCCTGTGAGGTCGCTACATCAACAATGTGAAAAGGCCTTGGTTGGACGAAGACGGCAACCCAATGTGGGGCGAGTGGCGCACATGGGCGGCCAAGGCCGCCCGAAAAACTGGGGGCACAGCAGCTGCTTATAGCTAGCTTTGTAGATAGCAAGGTAGATAGGTAGGTAAAAATAGATCGATGATAGATACAGTAGATGGCTAGCTATTTAGAGCTAGCTAGGTAAATAGATCGATATGTAGATATAGATTTATATAATATATATACACATATATAGATATGTGGCGTTTGGCTCAGGAATAGGTGAAAGGGTTCCATGTTCATTCATGTCTTGTGGCTTTGAAAATTGATGTTGGGGTCAATTGATTTGGTTTTCTCATTTGTCCTGAGGTGGTTTTCTCCCAAGCCTTCGAGACCTGTATGGGTGCCTTGGTAGGGGCCGAGGCGAGCTCTGGAAGCCATGGTATGGTGGATCCATTTGGTTCCATTTCATGAAATTACCGTATCAAGAACATCAAAGGGCTCAAGAATGGCTTTCTTGGTGCTTGATAATGCTTTATACGGGAAATAACTGCCTTTTGATCCTTTGCTCCCTGCGGATTTGTGGAATGCAGTTACTTGGCAAGACGGCCCGCTCCAAAAAGTAGTTGGGAGAGAGTGATGCTTCTTGATGTTCAGTCATGTCTAGTCCTTCCACATTTCTTTCACAGTTGTTTTTTATATATGAAGATATGCCATCCATCCGTTGTTGATGTTGACAAATAGTGGAAAATAATCACATCCAATGAGCGTGCCGCGCCCTTGTGCAAGTAAACCACCTAAAAGAACTAGTCAGTAGGCATGTCAAATTACACGCCTTGTTTATTACCGCGGATACTTAAAAAGGAGTTGATGACAGAGGCTGTTTGGGGCCACTTGAAGTTTTGGCCCTTCAATGTCCAATGGATCCAGGTTTCACGGAGGATTGATTGACGGTGTAATTGGATAGCCGCTATCCCCGCTATCACCGCTATCCACGTTCCGAGGTTTGGTGATCATTTTCAATCTTTGCATCATCGTTTATGAGGCCGCCCTGTCGCGTTTGCTGCGGCATCATTCTTCCCGGCATGGGGCACATGTTGAGGCATATCCCCTACACCGAAAGCCCTTTTGGGTCTTGGGACTGCTTCCATGACAGGCGGATCAGGATGCTCAGTGCTATCCTGAATGGGCCGACAAATATGCTCAGTGCCCAAATCGCTCTGAGGTGCGATTTCAGCATCCTGAACTTGCTGTGTCCGAGTCAAGCCTGCCTAAGGGCGGTCCTAGGACGCACACAATTCGGATGTCTACTGGAACTCTAGGAAACCATAATGGCGAGTAGCCAGCGTGAGGGTTCTTTTCTGCTCATCCTTCTTGTCGTTTCTCTCCCAAAGCATAAGTTCGATGTTTCTTGACCTTATTGAAGTCAAGCTGACTATTCCACCAGACAGTTTTCAGTGGCCCTCACCGCCCCATCCAGCCCCATCCAGTCATGTCCCTGTCAGAATTTGTCTTGGGTGAACGAGATCAACATCTTGCTGCTGATAATCTACAGCATTGAGCCGTGGCTATCATGGCTTAAATTGCTCAAGGACGTTCAAGGGCTGTCAGACGGCAACTGGTGCCAAGCCCATTAATATATATATATATACATATACATGTATAATTATATACAGTATATTGTTGGGTACAAGTTTCATTGGGGTTTTGTCGTGTATATGTAGTACAATCTTTTTGATATTGTAATAATATTATATGCATATACATTTATATATATATATATACACAAATATACATTAAGTGTTTGTCCCACTTGGGGTAATTGATGGTGCTCGAAAGCCAATGCTTTACCCATGAATTTTGGATAACTTTGGGTTCCCCATTTTTTTTGTAAATCCCCAGACAAACGATAACGGGCGTTTGATCTCCCAGGAAAGCATCGTACGTGCCTATGTTGAGCGAAATCGCTTTTGCTGCAATCCCTGGAATGTGACTGACCTGATGATCGTAATTTTGGGCTGGGCTTCTATAGCGCCTTGGCTACACCCATGACATCCTTTGCTGACTTAGTTGCTTCATTAGTTTGGATTAAAAAAAAACAAATCACAGGACACCCATGGAAACCCATTGTTTTGAGACATTGAACACTACTGAACATGCGTTCATCTCAATGGTTTTGTTGTTGCAAAGAAAGAGCTGACTTCTCCCATAAGAAATTGTTCTGATTGATATGTTCTCATATGAAAGTATCCGTCGTTTTTTGTGAGCCCATTCGCAACTGTTTGACTCTATGCCCTTGTCTTGATAGCACCTCAAATTGTTGGCATGTCTGCAGACCTCGCATTTTCGACCAAAACACCAAAAAGTAGCAAAAAGTACTCAGAGACATAAGTTTTAGCAGTTTGGTAGCCAAAAAAAATGTGTGTTTCTTCCAAATGCAGAGAACATGCATCAACAAAAATTGCGCATGGACCTGGTTCCATCAGGCTTTGAGCACGCTGAATCTGAGCCTGCTTCGTTTATCACGCTTGGTTCGAGTGCTTCGTGCCGCGCGTGTTTTCATTTCGGTGCCAGAGTTCTATCTGCTGGTGTCGGGCTTGTTTTCATCCTTCAAGGCGAAAGTGGGGGCTGGTCGGCTGCTTCACCAGGTTTTCTTTTCGGCAATTTCAGACAATGGGATAGAATGGGTCATAAAGGTCTAGTTAAAGGTCTTAATGTTTTTTATATATTATAATAGGTTCATTGATTGAAGAATCAACCAATATCACCTCTCATTTGTCTATTATTTGAATCAGTGACTATCACTTGATCATAGCATTTAAATATGCATCCGCAGATTCAAGTTCTGGTCCTGTGGCTGGGCTCATCTGGGCGAGGCTATCGTATTTGGCTCCATGATTTTGGTGTCCGTCATCGGCTTTTGGGCGGTGGTCGCGGTGCCTGGTTTGATGCAGGGTCCTTTTTTGAGTTCATGGGGCGGTTGTGCTGAGACCTCCTGCTGTAGGGTGATATTGGCTAACAAATAAATGGTGCCGTTCTAAAAGCATATAGCTCCCCCCCAAAAAGTATAATTTTGGAAATCTATATCTATATCTATAATATATATATATATATATTTAAGTGAGGCCATTCTGAGAAGGTTTGGTGGGATCCAGGTACCTCGGACTAGCAAGCTTGGAATGTGTACCGGGTTTTTATGGCTTATTATGCTCACCCAGTTTGCAACTGTATCATACTACTGTAATTTGGAGCAAGGTCCATCATTGTCAAAGACGAAATGGGGGGCTGACTGCTTGGAAATTTACATGCTGTTTGAGCAAACCACACAGGTGAAGGGTCGGTTAGTTTAAAAGTATTTTGATGGAGGGATGGATGATGTGATATGAAGTTTCCCAATTGTGTGACCCTGCGATAGTCGAATCACACAAGCTACTATAGGAAGACACTGAGCTACTATTATTGGCGGCAACGTGTATCATCCGCACGAATCGACGAGGTCAGTTTCTCCACGTAGAAAGCTGCTGATGAAAACCTCGTACAAATGTCTTTTCATGTCTTCCATCATGTCCCATCATGTTCCCTCACGTTCCATGATTTTCCTCCATCATGTTTGCTGTTTTCTTTTACTACCACTGTGTTTCTTTACTCAGGGGCCCTGTTGGCCCTGTGCTTCGTCTAGGTGGAAGCCTTTCATCCGGTGGTCTCCAGCTTGTCCTTTGCTGGCTGCCAGCGATGTGACATGAGCTTCAGAAGTGTGACATCTGCCGGTGTGACGCTCTTTCAACAAATCGTGGCAGGACAGAAGTTCTTCATCGTCTCAAAAACATGGAAGGAAGCGAAACAACCGAATCTAAAGTAAAGTAGTGATGAATGTCTTTTCTATCTTTCTTGGAGCTTGCTGTACTACAAGTACTGTTATCCGTTAAAGTGTTGGGAACATAGTGGGGCTGATGGTACGCATCGCCGGATGAATCCATCCTTCTGATGTTGTGAGTTCTGGTTCACACCTGATGCCTAAATCACTTCGCAATTTGGGGTGTAGATCAGATCCGTTAGGTTTAGATCCGACACCTTTCAAATTTCAAAAAAAAAACAGAAATTCATGTCTGATTGTCATATCACCAAGAGGCAGTAATGAAGCAAAAGAAACTGCGGGCATGAACGTTTTTGTTTCTATCAAAGCATTTTTTTCATATTTTTTCGGGATAAGCCGTTGATTGAAAATACGGCAGCCAATCTAATGACAAGTGATCCCTGTCAGTTGAAATTGACGATTGAGGGTTCTGAACGTAGCAGCAGGCATGACCTCGGCTCAATTGGCACTGACCTTAAGCCCATGCAAAAATCGACACCGGCAACAGCATGCCAAGTAATGACAACTTTTGCACCTGTATAATGTTTGCATCTGATTAGTGTGAGGGGCCCCCCCCCCCCAAACAATTTGAGGATACTCTATAACTCGCACTTTTTTTTGCCCCCCCTCAACATTTTTTTGGTCAATCAACTTAAGAAAGGATTTCAATTTACTTTCAATTGATTTCAATTTATTTTCAATTGATTTCAATTTACTTTTAATTTACTTTCAATTGATTTCAATTTACTTTCAATTGATTTCAATTGATTTCAATTTACTTTCAATTGATTTCAATTTACTTTTAATTTACTTTCAATTGATTTCAATTTACTTTCAATTGATTTCAATTTACTTTTAATTTACTTTCAATTGATTTCAATTTACTTTTAATTTACTTTCAATTGATTTCAATTTACTTTCAATTGATTTCAATTGATTTCAATTTACTTTCAATTGATTTCAATTTACTTTTAATTCAATTGATTTCAATTGTTTTCACTTTTACTTTTAATTTATTTTTATTTTTTTCACTCCCAAAAGTTGGTGCTCACAATAGAGTACCATCCAAACAATTATATTATTGAGTAACTGAGCCAATCATGAGGTATCCCCTTGAAAAATTGTCTGAGTGCTGTTTTTTAATAAGGGTTTAATAAGGCATCTGATTATTTGGGAAACCTTGCATTTTAAAGCTTTAGCACAACTATGGCTTTCTAAAGTGAAAGGACCAGCTTTACCCAAAGAAAGGTGGAGAAAGGGTTTTGCTTTTTTTTCACTCCCAAAAGTTGGTGCTCACAATAGAGTACCATCCAAACAATTATATTATTGAGTAACTGAGCCAATCATGAGGTACCCCTTGAAAAATTGTCTGAGTGCTGTTTTTTAATAAGGGTTTAATAAGGCATCTAATTATTTGGAAAACCTTGCATTTTAAAGCTTTAACATAAATATGGCTTTCTAAAGTAAAAGGACCAGCTTTACCCAAAGAAAGTGGAGAAAGGTTTTTTTTTTCACTCCCAAAAGTTGGTGCTCACAATAGAGTACCATCCAAACAATTATATTATTGAGTAACTGAGCCAATCATGAGGTATCCCCTTGAAAAATTGTCTGGGTGCTGTTTTTTAATAAGGGTTTAATAAGGCATCTAATTATTTGGAAAACCTTGCATTTTAAAGCTTTAACACAAATATAGCTTTCTGAAGTAAAGGCACCAGATTTACTCAAAGAAAGGTGGAGAAAGGGTTTTGTTTTTTTTCACTCCCACAAGTTGGTGCTCACAATAGAGTACCATCCAAACAATTATATTATTGAGTAACTGAGCCAATTATGGTTTTTTCAGGTATCTAATTATTTGGAAATCCTTGCATTTTAAAGTTTTAACACAAATATAGCTTTCTAAAGTAAAGGCACCAGCTTTACCCAAAGAAAGGTGGAGAAAGGGGTTTGCTGTTTTTTTTCACCCCCAAAAGTTGGTGCTCACAATAGAGTACCATCCAAACAATTATATTATTGAGTAACTGAGCCAATTATGGTTTTTTCAGATATCTAATTATTTGGAAAACCTTGCATTTTAAAATTTTAACACAACTATGGCTTTCTAAAGTAAAGGCATCAGCTTTACCCAAAGAAAGGTGGAGAAAGGGTTTTGCTTTTTTTTCACTCCCAAAAGTTGGTGCTCACAATAGAGTACCATCCAAACAATTATATTATTGAGTAACTGAGCCAATCATGAGGTATCCCCTTGAAAAATTGTCTGGGTGCTGTTTTTTAATAAGGGTTTAATAAGGCATCTAATTATTTGGAAAACCTTGCATTTTAAAGCTTTAACATAAATATGGCTTTCTAAAGTAAAAGGACCAGCTTTACCCAAAGAAAGGTGGAGAAATGTTTTTTTTTTCACTCCCAAAAGTTGGTGCTCACAATAGAGTACCATCCAAACAATTATATTATTGAGTAACTGAGCCAATCATGAGGTATCCCCTTGAAAAATTGTCTGGGTGCTGTTTTTTAATAAGGGTTTAATAAGGCATCTAATTATTTGGAAAACCTTGCATTTTAAAGCTTTAACACAAATATAGCTTTCTGAAGTAAAGGCACCAGATTTACTCAAAGAAAGGTGGAGAAAGGGTTTTGTTTTTTTCACTCCCACAAGTTGGTGCTCACAATAGAGTACCATCCAAACAATTATATTATTGAGTAACTGAGCCAATTATGGTTTTTTCAGGTATCTAATTATTTGGAAATCCTTGCATTTTAAAGTTTTAACACAAATATAGCTTTCTAAAGTAAAGGCACCAGCTTTACCCAAAGAAAGGTGGAGAAAGGGGTTTGCTGTTTTTTTTCACCCCCAAAAGTTGGTGCTCACAATAGAGTACCATCCAAACAATTATATTATTGAGTAACTGAGCCAATTATGGTTTTTTCAGGTATCTAATTATTTGGAAAACCTTGCATTTTAAAGTTTTAACACAAATATGGCTTTCTAAAGTAAAGGCATCAGCTTTACCCAAAGAAAGGTGGAGAAAGGGTTTTGTGTTTTTTTAACTCCCACAAGTTGGTGCTCACAATAGAGTACCATCCAAACAATTATATTATTGAGTAACTGAGCCAATCATGAGGTATCCCCTTGAAAAATTGTCTGGGTGCTGTTTTTTAATAAGGGTTTAATAAGGCATCTAATTATTTGGAAAACCTTGCATTTTAAAGCTTTAACATAAATATGGCTTTCTAAAGTAAAAGGACCAGCTTTACCCAAAGAAAGGTGGAGAAAGGTTTTGTTTTTTTTTCACTCCCAAAAGTTGGTGCTCACAATAGAGTACCATCCAAACAATTATATTATTGAGTAACTGAGCCAATCATGAGGTATCCCTTGAAAAATTGTCTGGGTGCTGTTTTTAAATAAGGGTTTAATAAGGCATCTAATTATTTGGAAAACCTTGCATTTTAAAGCTTTAACACAAATATAGCTTTCTGAAGTAAAGGCACCAGATTTACTCAAAGAAAGGTGGAGAAAGGGCTTTGTTTTTTTTCACTCCTACAAGTTGGTGCTCACAATAGAGTACCATCCAAACAATTATATTATTGAGTAACTGAGCCAATTATGGTTTTTTCAGGTATCTAATTATTTGGAAATCCTTGCATTTTAAAGTTTTAACACAAATATAGCTTTCTAAAGTAAAGGCACCAGCTTTACCCAAAGAAAGGTGGAGAAAGGGGTTTGCTTTTTTTTTTTCACCCCCAAAAGTTGGTGCTCACAATAGAGTACCATCCAAACAATTATATTATTGAGTAACTGAGCCAATTATGGTTTTTTCAGGTATCTAATTATTTGGAAAACCTTGCATTTTAAAGTTTTAACACAAATATGGCTTTCTAAAGTAAAGGCATCAGCTTTACCCAAAGAAAGGTGGAGAAAGGGTTTTGTGTTTTTTTTTACTCCCAAAAGTTGGTGCTCACAATAGAGTACCATCCAAACAATTATATTATTGAGTAACTGAGCCAATCATGAGGTATCCCTTTGAAAAATTGTCTGGGTGCTGTTTTTTAATAAGGGTTTAATAAGGCATCTGATTATTTGGGAAACCTTGCATTTTAAAGTTTTAACACAACTATAGCTTTCTGAAGTAAAGGCACCAGCTTTACCCAAAGAAAGGTGGAGAAAGGGTTTTGTTTTTTTTTTCACTCCCACAAGTTGGTGCTCACAATAGAGTACCATCCAAACAATTATATTATTGAGTAACTGAGTCAATTATGGTTTTTTCAGGTATCTAATTATTTGGAAAGCCTTGCATTTTTAAGTTTTAACACAAATATGGCTTTCTAAAGTGAAAGGATCAGCTTTACCCAAAGAAAGATGGAGAAAGGGTTTTGCTTTTTTTTCACTCCCAAAAGTTGGTGCTCACAATAGAGTACCATCCAAACAATTATATTATTGAGTAACTGAGCCACTCATGAGGTATACCCTTGAAAAATTGTCTGGGTGCTGTTTTTTAATAAGGGTTTAATAAGGCATCTAATTATTTGGGAAACCTTGCATTTTAAAGCTTGAACACAAATATGGTTTTCTAAAGTAAAAGGACCAGCTTTACCCAAAGAAAGGTGGAGAAAGGTTTTTTTTTTCACCCCCAAAAGTTGGTGCTCACAATAGAGTACCATCCAAACAATTATATTATTGAGTAACTGAGCCACTCATGAGGTACCACCTTGAAAAATTGTCTGAGTGCTGTTTTTTAATAAGGGTTTAATAAGGCATCTAATTATTTGGAAAACCTTGCATTTTAAAGCTTTATCACAAATATTATAAAGTAAATGGACCAGCTTTACTCAGAGAAAGGTGGAGAAATGGTTTTTGATTTTTTTCAACACCAAGAAGCTGTTGGGCACAATAGAGTACCATCCAAACATTCATATTATTGAGTAACTGAGCCAATCATGAGGTATCACCTTGAAAAATTGCTGTTCACATCAGCAAGGGTGCATTTCTCAGCTTGTGTGGGCTCAATTCC